GTTTTTGGGGTCGTGCGGGTCGTTTTCAGACTCTAAAACAGGGTCGTTTGTTCTATGCGGGCTGGTCTTAATACAGGGATAAAAATAGGAAAGATAAACCTGGTCCTAATACAGGGATACAAATAGGAAAAATAAACCTGTTTCTAATACAGGAATAAAAATAGGAAACATTAACCCCTCAGCCTGGTTCTAACACAGGAATATAAATAGGAAATATAGACTCCTCAACCTGGTTCTAGTATAGGGATACAAATAGGAAATATTAATTCCTTAATCTGGTTCTAGTACAGCGATACAAATAGGAAATATAAACCTGGTCCTAATACAGGAATACAAATAGGAAATATAAACCTGGTCTTAATACAGGGATACAAATAGGAAATATAAACCTGGTCCTAATACAGGGATACGAATAGGAATTAAAAACCTGGTTCTAATACAGGAATACAAATCTTCTTGTGACACAGTCGGTCTTGTAACTTTTTATGTTCTTGTGACTCAACATGGTCATTTTGTGAACTGTGACGCATTATGTTACTTATTACGTATTGGTCTACATTTTTATGTTGTATATACTTCATATTGTAAGATTTTAGTTCCATCGTCATGCTTCACATGAATATGTAAAAAACAAATATTCATGTTTGATGTAAATACCCTTGGTGTTAAATGATAAGCCAAGTAAAATGAAGTTATTTGATATTTCTGACGAAACGTAATTTTTAGCATTATGATGTTGTAACATCAAATACTAGATCAAAACTTTTTTGTGGCAGTAATAAGGTTTAAAAAATGTATCTTATTTTTAACATTTCCACGTAAAATCCTTCGGTCAAGGTTCCAATACTTAAGCAATAACCTTAATTTCAGTAGTTATCGAAAACCTTCAGGTTTTGAATGAGAAAACATTCTGAACTGAAATTCTGGAAAACTTGAAGCAAAATAATAAATTAATTATAAAACAGCATTTCGTGTAATATTGGGAGATCCCCAAGGTTGTTCAATTGTCACGCTATACAGATGACACCATATTTTGCCCTTTAATACATAATATAAAGTGATAATTGGCATGTCTGGTTTACAAACTTTAAACCTTTTTCTGATCAAAGATGAATGAGATAACCTAATTCTTCTTTCAGAACATTTATAATTGTGGTTTCTCCATAAAAGTGACTTAAAGATTAATGCATTGGAGAAAAGGACAAAAAGCTAGAACTTTACATTTTAAAATAGAAAAACAGTGATATATTTCTTATTGTTAAAGATGGTACCTTGTGAATTTAAAAATTCTAAAAATGGAGAGTAACTTGAAATTATGTCTACCTGCCGTCTCTGGCAAAAGGAGTTAATAATCCTAGCATAGGAAAGTGTTGCGATTAATATCTAAATTTTATTATCATTCTTGAATGATGCGCAAAATATTCATGATGTAGTCAATTTGGTAGTAGATCCTGCTCCGGTGGAAGACAATAACATTGCAAAACAAATGTCTGAAACTTCAAACATGTGAATTTTTGTAAAAAGCGGGGAAAACATGAAGGTGCTAGATTTAAAGCTAAGAAACAAGCATGATATCAGACCTTATTATTTGTTCAGTGATTTAATAGTAAACAAACTACATATACTATTCACATATACAGGAAGTAGTTGTCAGTATTTTAACAGTCTTCAATCCAAGAGGTATTGACCTCAAGTTCACTTATCAATTTCAAAACCAATACTTTAAACTAATCTAATATCCAAGACAATACTTTAAACTAATCTGATATACAAGACAATACTTTAAACTAATCTAATATCCAAGACAATACTTTAAACTAATTTAATATCCAAGACAATACTTTAAACGAATCTAATATCCAAGACAATACTTTAAAATAATCTAATATCCAAGACAATACTTCAAACTAATCTAGAATCAAAGACAAGACTTTAAACTAATCTGATATCCAAGACAATACTTTAAATTAATCTAATATCTAAGACAATACTTCAAACTAATCTAATATCCAAGACAATACTTTAAACTAATCTAGAATCAAAGACAAGACTTTAAACCATTTTGTTATCCAAGGCAAGATAAGGATCTTTTAAAAGGCCCAATTTTATGCTTCTCAGTTTTTTTACTTTCACGTTTAACTAGCTTTTAATATCTTTATTTAGTAAGCTATAAAAATACTGATTTAGAGAAGAATGTTTAAGAAGATTCTAAACCGGAAACGTTCTTCTTCATCATCTTCTTCATCTTCCTCTAGCGATGAAGAAGATATTAAGGAAGTTAAGGTAATTAGGTTTTTTCTTACAAGAAACTTTAAAAAATGGGTTAATTTTACAGTGACATTTTTATTTGAGAGATCATCAAATTTTATATACCTAGGAATTCAGGTTTCTGCATTTAAAGAAAATGTAATTTCAAACGGCCCTCTATATTTAAAGAGGGCCATTCTAGATTCACAACGGTACCCTTTAAACCTTAATTAGCTTAATAATGTGGAGGATATAGTGGTTTCTGTAGCTTCAACAGTGCTTAACTTAAACAATTTCCTCCATCGTGAACCGGAAATGCCACTCTATAAATTACGTCCACAGTCCCTTTAAATGCAATTAGTGACATGTAATATAAGTGAATGAACGTAAATTTGCAACAAATTTTAATCTAAAGAATTAAACTGCAATCGTGGAAGGGAATCCTTGCTCACCTGCGTGAGCCTCTCAGATTTGCTATGCAGCGGCGAGCCTCCGCTATGCAGTATAAAGGGGAATACATTTCCAGACAAAGGGTGGGGGGAGGGGCCTTCTGACGTTAAAATCATACACACATTATAAAAAATAAATTAAAAACGCCAATATTTAATTTTTCATAAAATTATACACAACATTTAGTCCAAAAAAGAATTACTTGCAAGAAATCATCATTTTCAATTCAGTTTTTTTACAGAATAATTGGTGAGGTAAACATGGACCTATCACAAAAAGTTTTGAAAAAATGCCTGAAAAATGCGGGAAAAAATATTTTTCCCGCATATTTTGTTGTTTGATTCAAAACTAGATCACTATTCAGCTCTGCATGCAAAAATCAGAGAGAAATCTCTAGTAATAAAGTTGGAAGGTTTCTTTGGCCTTTAAGAGGGGAAATAAGCGGGAAAAGAGAGGGAATGTTATAAGAAGAGGAAGAAATGCAATATAGAGTCCAGAATTCAGTTTACCATGACTTTAGACACCCCACATGGACCTATCACAAAGTTTTTGAAAAATGTCCGAAAAATGCGGGAAAAATAAGGGGAAAAATAATTTTTCCTACATTTTGTTGTTCTATTAAAAAACTAGATCACAATTTAGGCCTGCATGCAAATAATCAGAGAGATAAATTAATAAAGTCAGAAGGCTTCTTTGGCCTTTATGAGGGGGAAAATACGGGAAATGGGGGAATGGTATAAGGAAAGGGGGAAATGGATTACAGACTCTAGAATTCACTTTCCCGACCCAATGTTGATGACTTAAGACACCCCATATGGACATAACACAAAGTTTTTGAAAAAATGTCCGAAAAATGCAAGAAAAATCAGGGGAAAAATTATTTTTCCGCACTTTGATTTTTGATTAAAAAACTAGATCACAATTCAGGCCTGCATGCAAAAAATCAGATAGAAATCTCTAAAACTAAGAGTCAGAAGCCCCACCCTTTTGTATGGAAATGTGTACATTCCCCTTTCATAATTAAACTTGAAAAAAAAGATATAAAGAAAACAAATTATGAAGTGAGTTTGCTTAGATTTGTTAAAATCTTTGATTTAAGCGATACATTCTTTGAAAAATTATTAAGTTTAGATAATTCTTGTAGTGCAAAATTATTGTTTTAAAGAATTATCAACAAATAACAAATTTTCAAAAATCTACAAAAAAAGTTTTTTTTTCTGAAATAAAAGAATTAAAAAAACAAATCAAATTCGTTTTAGAATTTGTTTCCGTAAAATCTTCATTTTCGCGTAAAAAAATCCTTTGAAGCTTTAGTATAAAATTTGAACCTCGGTGCTGCTCAGCAAATCTGGGAGGCTCATTTCGGTCAGGGGTTCCCTCCCTACTTAACTATTATTGCGGGTAACCCTTTGAAGGCAATACAGGGACATTAGTTCCAAAACTAACACTTGGCCAATTTCTAACAGTCAGTGTTAAAAATGGGCCAAGTGTTAGTTTTGGAACTAATGTCCCCTGCAATATGCGTGTGGTGCACAGGTATTTACCAGCCAACCTACACTTTTTCCATTAAACGCATAACCCACTACACACTGGGTCTATTAGACGGACTGGTACGAGTAAGAGTGTATGTGGTACTATTACACTAGGCAAGTAAATCCCCGTGCCGTACGAGGGGGGGGGGCAGCCCCCCAGCCCCCTCTGAGGGGGGGGGGGACTCGCCCAAACTAAAAGTTTAAGAAAAGAATTAAAATATATTCTGATTCACAATACCTTCAAAGCTTTGTCTGATCAAGTATTGCATTAAAAATCCATGTTTCCCATTTTGAAAACTGAATATTTTTATTTGTGGTTTCTCTACAAAAGTGACTCGCGCATTTCTTCTTCACGATGGAAAAATGAAAGTTTCAAAGGTACATCGGACATGCCACTCTATAAATGGGGGGTCACTTGAAATTACGCATGTATTCCATTAAAGTATCATTACATCGTATAGAAAAAAAATACTTTAAAATCTCACTTTTGCCCTGGACTAAAAAAGTTTTATTAAAAAAGCTTTAATCAATACTGCCTTCACTGTAAATATATATTTAATAACATAATTTATTATACAATATGTATCAATCCTATGAAAATATAGATATTTTTTTAGAAACGTTTCCATCTATATTTTTCATGTGCGACCCTGGTAAATCCTTGTACTGGTTGGAACCATGCGTGTACACTGAACCAATATCTTGTTGTGTGTAGGTTCACAACAAGGAGAAGAGAAGCTCCCTAGCAAATATAAAAGCTAAGTTTGAATCCTCTCCTAAAGAAAAGAAGAACAAAGCACCGGTAATCCAATATTATGTTTGTTTATCGATTAGTGGCTTAAAGCTTTAAATTTTGATCGGCAAATATTTGTGAAAATAAATCAGAATAAATCCTTAAAGAGGATTTAATATTAAAATGACCAACTGCTAAAATTCTGTAATTCAGGGGTGTATATTTTCAAGAATTACCTAAAACTTAGTCCTTGAATGTTAAAGAAATGGATAAAGTATGATGTCCAACAATTCCTTTAATTTCGAACAATAAAACAATAAAAAATATTCTAGAAAATTTTGACAACAGCAGTACGGGAGCGGAGAGAGAGTGATGATAATGATGACAAGAAGGATAGGTAAACAAAATTTAATCATTTTTATATTTTACATTCTAGAATGTGCAAAGTGCAATCTTGAAATTCTTTTTGTATATTAATAAAATTTGTCAAGCCGTATACAGAATAAATGGTGTGTGGAGGCAAAAATTCCACAAAGCGAAACATTTTGTTTGTACTCCCACTTAAAAACAATTCTTAAGAGGGACAGAATTGTTAAATATATTGAATTCTTGGGCACAGTGTTCTTAAAGGGGGGTAGAGGTTAATAAAAATGTCAATTAAAAAGGACAATTGTTTCAAACTTGGTAATTGATTTTTACCTTTTAGTCCCCTCTTTGTGCCCAGGTTGAGGTCCTTGACTATTTGAAAATAGTTTTATCTTTTATTTTCAGGAGCTCTGTTTCCACCAGATCCAAGTCTCCAACTAAAAGGAAAATCCAGTTCATGTTTATTATTTACAAACAAGTTATTTGGAAAATCAAATTTGTTCCTTGGCTGTAGTTCAAAACTTGACTCATTCTATAGATTAGATTGGAATGTTAATATTGACGGAGATGTCCGGTTATATGGTTACAGGTTTTATATTTGAAAGAATTTGTAAAATTATTCTAAAATAGGTTTAATATCAAAGAGATAGATAAATATAGAGTGGAATTAAGTGGATAAAAGTGGAAAACCGTCATTTTGTTGTACTGTTTCCATACTGCAGCCTTGCAGTTGCAGGTGTACTTCACACATTTGTGCAATATAACCTTTTGGGTCCTGGAACATCTTCTTATAGAATTTTACGTTTTAATGTTAATTAAATAACAACTCTAATTCACCTAGCTAATACATGCGTTACAAATCAATTTAAAAATACTCCTAGTCCTGGAAGTTTCCATAATGTGGTCTGGTTTTTTGTGCTTTCAATATTACCTGAGATTTGAAGAATTTTCTTCAGATCTGGACAATTTTTGTTAAATTTAGTAAAATTGAAATCTGAAAAAAATATTAGTAACATTTTGGAAATGCTAGGACTAGGTGAATTTTGTGGTTATTGTTTCAAGAATCAAACATGTCCTTGATCTTTGAAATATTTGCGACACTTCTTCGTAAACCTAATTTTATAGTAAAATTCTATATAGAGTTAATAATCACAAAATACTCCTAGTCGGTGACGACTGAATCTCACAAATTCAAAGATCTAAGACTACTTTCAAGTCATCTTGCTACTGTCATGTTTCGTGCTTTGTTGTTGTGAACACTCTGTGGTAAACGGTGTAAGGTATACATTGTAGATTATGAGGTGTACAGTGCATTGTACGGTAGATTATGAGGTGTACAGTGCATTGTACGGTAACCACCAACAAAGTTCTCTGAAAAAAGTTTTCGGAAATGAAGTCTTAAATTTTGGCATAAAAAGTCCTGTGAAAAAAGTCTCTGGAAATAAATTACTACTAGTATTATAAGTCCTATTATGGTAGAAAATGCACAGGGAAAAATCATAGAGAATTAGAGGGGAATTTAAAGAATCTCTCGGTATGAATTTTTTCAGACCCTTTCAGCTTGAAAGGGAGTTCAAAGTGTACAAATCATGTAAATGTTCACAAATTATATGCAGTAGAGTACATTAATACAGTATGTTCCCTAGACTATTCATTTCAATTTCGAATTTTATAACAGAAAATCATCGTTTGTAAAGTAAAAGTCATATAGTCTATGTGAAATGATCATTGGTCAATTATGAAACCAGCCTATTTCATAATTTGGTTTTCTTTTAACATTAATTTTAGATTTTCTATAAAATGATATTCCAGGGCCCAAAAGGTTATATAGCATAAATATGTGAAATTCCATTGCACGGAATTGCGTGCAATGGTTGCTTCCGCTTGCGCCATTTCATTGCGCGCAATTGCGCTATAATTGCGAAAAAGGCAGCAATTAAATATTCGCGTAATTTCGTGTACAACGGAATAGCTGTTCCATCTAAAAATTAATATTTGTAACTGTTCGACTTACAAATTTATGCAGCAGATGCAAGAATGGAAATATCTCTTCAGATTTTAAAATAATCGAGGCCCAAGTTTCACAGTTTTAACAGTTTTAAAATTTTTAAGTTTCTATTAATTTTCTAGTTAATTAACAATTTGAAATGATAAATTTTTCATTCGTTCATAATGGATGAACATTAAAATGGAAACTTTTTTTTGGTTAAAATTGTAAGGTTCGTTTAGTCAAAATTAGATATTTTGCTACAGCTTGAGAACCAGAAAGCTATGGAACAGAAGGATAACTAGGGTTTCCACGAAATGGCTAAATCTTTTGCGCAAAATTTGCGCTATTTTCGCGCAAATTTTTTTTTTGCGAACTTTTGCGCTATTTTTGCGCATGAAACGCAATGAGTTTTGCGCGGTTTTGCGCTATTTTTTTTGCGCAATTTGCGCAAAACCGGAAATATTTTTTTGCGAAAGTTGCGCATGAAACGAAATTTTAGTTTTGCGCAATTTTTTTGCGCAATTTGCGCAATACCGCAAGTTTTACGCAAAATGTAACTTTTTAGGCAAATTGTCAAAAATTGATATTCTAAGCTTAGAATTAAACAACTGAAGATTTATTAAGTATGATATAGACTATACTACACTCAATTGGTTACTTCCAGTTACAAAAAGTTTAAATTAAGGGACCAAAATTAATAAAATAGAAATTAGAGAGTGTGAAACAATTGGCAATATTTTAATCCTATTAAATAATTTCAAGTGACCATTAAAAGCTTTGCCTAATCAAGTATGAATCATATTCTTAAATTTTTTTAATCATAATTCGGAAATCTTAATCTCATATAAATAATGCAAGAAAGTAACCAATGCCTGAAGAATCCACTTTTAGGAAATATGCATGTTCAAAACTAAAATTGTCGAGAAAATTGTGAGATTTGAACTCTTCTTAACTGTCATTGGTCAATTATGTAAACGTGACCAATAGGAAGATATTCCAAAACAAGATTTTTCCAGAATTGAATTCTAAGAAACACACACACCGTCATCAACCATTTGATTTTTACGAAATTGCGGAATTGCGCAAAACTTGAGTTTCGCAAAAGCGGAATAGGGCAATTTTGCGCGAAATGACTTTTGCGAATGATTGCGCAAATTGTTGTTTTTTCGCGCAAAGAAAGAAAAATTTTGCGTTTCGTTCCGCAAAAATTGCGCAAAAGTTTTGCGAATGGAAACCCTAAGGATAACATCACAGTGTATTTGGTGTCCTTACAAATTAGCAAAAAACATTAATTAGCATCTTACTAAATCACTTATTCAGTTACATTGGTCTGCTTGAGTCTAAAATGTCGTCTTCCCATGCCAGAGTTTTTTGGTTATCATGCTGCAAATGAATATTATAAAACAAAAAATTAAGCTTAAATTCAATTTTCTTAGCATTTAAGATTGAAATGTTAGTGCAGTTCAGTTTAGTGTATGCCGCTACCAAAGTTAAAATTGAATTATTTTGTTGTTGAAAGGAATTGCGCAATAATTAATTGCATGTATTGCGTGCCATAAAGTTTAAATTGAATACTATCAAAAAGTTGAAACACAAACCCAAGAAAGTTGGACGGAATTACGCGCAATTCCGTTGCATTTATTGCGAGCAATTATTACAGAATTGCGCGCAATTAAATTCACTTGCGTGTAAGGGCTCGCAGTTAACTGCACCGTTAAACTCTCTCGTATAAACTTACTTTGGAATGATTTTACAAGCTCTTCATTTGAAAATCATTCTGATTAGTGTTTATCTATGTTGACTGTTAGGTTTGTATTGTCCGGAAGCGGAAATGGAACTGTTTTGATTGATAGCGGATCTAGCGGATCCAATCTATCCTTGAACCAAATTGAAGGAAAATCAGCATCGACTAATTCAATTGACTCCAACAGCTTGACTCCTTCCAGTAAGAAGAGTATCCCTGAAGTGATTCATCTGCCGGAAAAGAAGGTTTCCAAATCTAATTCTAAATCGTCATCTTCTTCTTCTTCTTCTTCTTCTTCCTCCTCCTCTTCATCCTCTTCCAGTGACGATGAGGAGTAAGTATAAATGTGTAAAACCTTATCAAGGTGGTAAAATAATTTTGTTTGATTTAAATTCTAAATTAGGAAAAATATTGCTTGGTTGGTAATTTTCACCAATTCACATTAAGGATAACTCAGAGCTGTTATTTTGGCAAGCAATATTTAAATAAACCATTGGCTCGGCAGAATGGGTTTCTTGTTCCTTTTGTTAGATGAATTACTTTTATATAAAGCAATCTCGTCAACACTATAGGGAAGGGGTATACGTACAGTGAAACCCTTAATAACGAATACATCGAGAGAATTCATCAAATGTCGTATTCTTCACTTTCTGATAATGGAATGTTGCAGATATTTAGTTTTTTAACTAAATGATTATATGGAGCTCTTTAAAACTGTTCCCGCATATTCATGGCTATTTATTTATTTTCGCAAAAACTGAAATTTACGAAATATAGTATAAAACTCATTGAAAAATTGTCAAGACGACATTTGATAAATTCTTCCGATGTATTGGTAATTAAGGGTTTCACTGTACCAGCTGGGAACTTTAGAATAATGAATATCAGAATTAATGCTTAATCCTCTCTTTTTGCTAATCTTGAGACTAACATAATCTCGAGATTATGTTAGTCTTGAGATTAAATATTTAGATCAACAAATTTCATTCTAGGAACGCCAGATTTGTTCGTTTTCTTGACTGGACGGGCCTTCACTTAATCTCTCACGCATTTATTATTTAAAAATTCATTAATTAAAATTAGTTTAAAAAGAATCTCAAACGTATTATTATTACATATTTTTATTCACTGATTAATGTACAAAATGGCCGATAACAAATTCTTTATTTGTTAGAAATTGCGGAGGTCTCTCATTGGATAGAATTTATTTTCGTGGCTGTCGTTGGTCAAAACAATTAACTATATTCCTTCACTCACATTGGAGAAAACAATGAATGGATATCCAAAGAGAGAGAATACAATTAAAAGTTTCCACAGTGGATATTTAAATTAAGCAGTCTGGATTAAAGGTTGTCCATTCTAAAGTGCCCAGCTCTGGTCAATTTATTATTTATTTATTAAATCCGAACCCTACCCCTGGGGTATTCTCTCGAACAAAAACTTTATCATAATCCGACATTATTGTTGTTTTAGAAAGAACGCTGTCACAGATAATAATCTTGAGAGTTTAAACAACCGTCTTGTCAGCTATATTGACAAGGTTCGACTGCTCCAGCAGGCTAGTGATGTATGGAAGGGAGTTCCTCCAGAGGATACAGAAACTAGGTATTGTATAGTCAAAAGGACTCGTAACGGTTCTCATATAGTACCCTCTAAAAACATTTGTCTAAATAAAAATGATAATATTTCACGCCTTTTCTTTCTTAAAACGGCATAAGTTCTGTAATCTTTGTTTTTGTCTCTGCTGAATAAATCCGTTACTTCTATGTTCTATGGCAGCACGTTATAAGAAAGAACTTTTAAAAGAAAGATAGTCTTTAAAACCAAATTTCTTGTAGATATGTAAACTGAATGCTTATGTAATTTTGTTGTGAGTTTTGCTCACTTTTTTATTTAAGGAATCAAATAAAACTTTAATATTTTATCTTTGCATAGCATAATTTCGTTGCAGGGATGAAATTGAAGAGCTGAAAAGAAAATATGAGGATGAGCTGAAGAGTTGGAGAGATGAACTTCAGAAAAAAGTAATTAAACAAACCCGCTCTCATATTCATTTTTCCCTGCGAACACTTGCTTTTCTGAAATAATTTTTTTTTAAATATTGTTTTGGTGGATTTCCGTGTTTACATTCTTACTAAACCTACGGTCCACTTTATTTTATATTAGTTCCTGTTGCTCAGAGATAATTGGTCTTGCTACAAACCTTCACTGAGGGTCACAAGAGTTTACACAAAAAATTGCACCCAACCAGCTTAACTGTTTTGACGTTTATTGAATAAAAAATAACAAATAAAAAACGGAATTATATAATTGATCACCGACACAAAATACAAATAAACATGCCTTTTAAAACACAAAGGAACTAATGACTCGCTTCAATCCCCTTATTCTCTAATTCTTATTATATCTTTTTCAACCTAACGTCGTCCATTTGTGATGGTTAAAATGATAATTTTACTAGATCACATAGTCAAGGTATGAAATATTACAGGTCTATAACAACAAATTCAAAAGATATACAGGGATTAGCAAATTTGAGTTTGTTCATTCCTGCGTTTTTGTTGTATGTTAAACAAGTACAGATTTAATCTAACCTTTTTTTTCTTCTGGTGCTCCAGTAACTCAGTTGAATTTAGTTGAGTATTGCACATCTTTAAACTGAAATAAATCTATGTTTGAAGGAGCAGGATACAGTGAAGTCTGGGTTAGAAGCAGAGCGACTAAACAAAGATAATCAGCATATTCGGTGACTATATATTTAGTTTTAAAAACCAGTCCTCTCTCAGGTTCTATTTGTAATTTCTTAAAATGAACTACCATCAAAGATGTGTCCCCCCCCCCCCCTTGCAAAACCTTAAGTTGTGTCTCTGCAGGAGAGAACAAGCTAGTGAATAATGTCAAATCTTACCTAGCAAATAATGACTGCAGCAAGGTTCATTATTTCATCCATGTTAAAATAAAAGTGACTCCGGAAGAAATCGGTTCACGCGGTATTAGAAAACTATAAACCGAGTATACATTCCTCGTTTGATGTTTTATAAAATTTCCAAGAAATCTTCTGGAGGAGAAGATAGCGCTGGTTAAGGGTCGGGATGAGAAGTTCTCCGAACTCGAGAGAGAAATTGCTGATCTACTTGGCAAAAATAATATTCTTCTGAATGAGAAAGAACGTGTGAGGGAACAGGCTCAGGTGACTTGAAACTTAAATAATTTTAACTTTTCAAAGAATATTTTCTTAATTATTAATAATAACATATGATTTTCTTTCAAATAGGAAGTTTTGAAAGAATTCCAAGAGCTAAAAAATGAGTTGAAAGCTGCAAAGGATGAACTCCAAGATGAGAAGGTATTTATTCAGATTGAAAATAACAAAAAATTTCTAAAATTTAAGAGTTCTGTTACTGCATTTGGAAGTTCTTTCTTTCCCATTTTTGAGCACACCAATGAGTTTTTTTTTCAAAATTGCATTTTTTCTAGGTAAATAACGGAACCTTGGAGTCTACACTTAAACTCCAGAAGAAAGAATACGAGGCCAAGGTGAGTGAAAAGATCTTATTTAAAGTATTCAATGAATTATTTATCTAAATTATCATTTCAGCTGGGCAAAATACTTCATCAGCTTGAGGGAGAGAAAAGAAGGAATAAGCTTGATTTCTCCCATCTTGATGATAAAATCAGATCAGAGTACGCTAAAAGGTAAAATCGATAATTGTTTTAAGATTTTTCTTAAATTATATAGATATTTGTAAATAATCTGAAGTTTCTGAAATCAAAAGGAACATGAATTTTTGAAATGGAAATTTTCTTTTAATCCAGTTTACTCTGAATTGTTCTTATTGGATCTAACCATCAGGGGTTTTCCGAAACCGTTCACCATTTTTACTATTGGGTATTTAGTTATCAATTCAAATATTTATGACCCTTTCGTACTTCTAAGAATATTACTGGTCTATCTAGAAACGAAGTGGTTATACACCTAATAATTAATAACTCCTTCTTTCTATGTCCTAAATATAGGCTGAGAGCTGAGTTGAGAAAGCTGAGAAAGCAGTACAAAGATCAAACAGAGAAAGCTAAAAGAGAATTCATGAATGTGCATTCCGCAAAGGTTTGTACTTGGACTGTCGACGTAATGTTAAGTTACCCTCTAATTAAAAATTTGCGTGTCAAATTTACAACGGGTACCCTTTAAGCTATAATTAAATTATTCCCAACTAACTGTTATAGACCAACACCAAAAATGAAAATATTAATTACGAGATATAAAATTAAGGATATGTCCATCATTTTTGCATCTGACAAAGACAGCGCCTTGAAATCGGTCATGTGTTTATTTAAGTGAAGTTTCACTTATGCCGACAGACACTTTATATCAATAATCTCACTCCTAATCTAACTTAAAATTTTGAATTTAGATATCTGAACTTCAAGAGGAGTTAAGCAGGGAGAGAACTGAAAACTACACTGCTAGAAGTGAACTTGAAGAAACCAAATCCAGGGTTCAAGGATACAAGGTTGGAAAATGGACATTATTCTTATTCTGAAATATCTTTAATTGTAATTATAACAAGAAATCCTCCCACTCAAAATGTATACAATTCATTTCAAATGTGTGTACAGTTTCACAAGCTGATCCATTCAGTCGACTTTAAACTGTCGTTCCCAGCAATAACGGGAGACAACCAAGGAAGTCTAATATTGACTTACCAGACACAGGGATAGGACGTCCTCAAGACCCATAATTACTCCTTCAGAGGTAGTCATATTTAGACCGATAAGATGAGGTTCAGGACGCTGCTAACGAACCGGGGTATGAGGTTACTAGTGACATTTGTCTCTGCATGGGTCCCTTGTGTGTGTCCATATTTTTGTCCGAGTGTTGCCACATGTGTTTCTCCGGAAGCTGTTTTAAAGATGTTCTCCCCCCCCCCCCCCTCCCTCCACTTGTCTTATATTCATTTACAGTTCTAGGAGCATGTATGGTTCTAGGAGCAGATAATTACTTGAGGTGTATAGTTCTAGGAGCAGTTAGTTACCTGAACTGCATAGTTTTATTGGAGCAGCTAGTTACCTGAGCTGTATAGTTCTATCGGAGCAGCTAGTTACCTGAGCTTTATAGTTCTAGGAGCATTTAGTTACCTAAGCCATATAGTTATAGGAGAAGCAAGTTACTTGAGCTGTATAGTTCTAGGAGTAGCTAGTTACCTGAGCTGTATACTTCTAGGAGAAGCTTTAAAAATATCTGTATTGATGAGCCAACAAAATTGATTTGTACATTTTGGTTTGGTTTGTTTTTCTTCTCTGTTCTTTTCTCTTGTTGTAACAAAGACGACATCTAAATATATTGCGGGTTTACAGGATCGATTCAAGAATAAATTAATTATTATATATCAACGCTAGCTGCAATTCATACACTGTTTGTAAATGAAAAGATTATCAGAATATATTCATTTTGTTCATTCTCAACATGAAACGAGACAAATGCATTTAAAAGGTGTACAGTGACAAAAACCAGTCACCACCCCCATGACCCCCTAAAATACCTCACTGTGACCCCCCCCCTCCCATTATCCCATTAAAAGATGGAGTTAAGACTAAACTATTTTTATTTGTCTACATAAACAACAACCACATTAAAGCAGTAGTTAATTGCATTAGATGTTATTATACAGCAAATAGTTAAATACTAACTTATTAAGTCAATTCATTTGTCGAATTGGTCTGTTTACATTGAACAATTGCTGTGTTTCATGATCATTTGTCTATTTAAGGTCTGGAGACTAAAAGTCATCAGAGTTTTCTGGTTATTTCTGTAATATAGATCACTAATTCACAATCTTTTCACCGTACAATTTGCAAAATTATAAAAACTTATTGCATTGGAATATCAGGAATACATAATTATCCAAAAGTGTATCATATATTCACGGGTTGGGAACTTTGTTTCAGTTGTAAAAAGAACAGGTAACAATTTACACCAGCCAATCGTTTTCTCTATTGACTCTAGACAAGTTGAAGAGATATCCGGAAATAAAACAAAATTAATGGTCATGTGGCCCCCTAGCCTGTCATAGCAGCGGCGCTCGGCCCTCAGCCTGTCCTAGCTGCAGCGCTCGACCCCCTAGCCTGATCTAACCAAAGGTTTCATTTTTGATGTGTTCTTTGTGTTTAAGGTGAGTCTGATTGTCATCATTATCATCACTCACATATCGGTAGCAAGCAGCAGCTAATCTTCGTTCTAATCCTTTAAAATTCAACTTTCAACTAGTATGTCTGCAATATTTGTAAACAAACCCCCATACATTTGTACAGAGTACAAATATACTTGCCGCAAACCTTTATTTCCAATGTACCATGTATTGCAGTAGCTAGTACCCTCTGGTATTGTGAAGCAATCTATACTCTTGTATATCTATGGGTTTAGGTTTAGATCGAATGATGACATACAGCACATCGAAAAATTGTGTTTTGCGGAGTCTTCAGGACGTCCGCGACCTCGTCCAAGACTCTCTCGTTCTTGCTGGGATTAGCTCTTTCCTTTGGTTTGACTTTACTAACCTAATTATAATTTTTGGAAGCCCTAGATATAATGATTTCAAAGCATTTAAGCATTTTTGAAAACTTTTCATAAACATTTATTTAAAAAAATTTCCAGGATAAGATTTTGGAACTGGAGAACTCGAACCATCATCTAGCCCAGAGAAGTGACAAGCTCAAGGAGGACTTGGAGAACATGGAATTCAATTACAAAACTCAGATCGGAGCAAAGAATAATGAAATTGATCATCTTCAGGTATCAGAATCTTTAAAATACTTCGATGTGGATATGTTCAATTTTAAATTTATTACCTATAAGATTGTTTTGTAAACAAAGTTTCATATCGAAGATATGTCAACTCAAAATGTTTTTATTAAAAACGTATTTACTAGATTCTTTATTTTTATCAAATTAGTACAGAATTTGAATTAAACCAGGCTTCTATATTAAGAACGCTGTGACAAAGTCTCGAAATGATTACGAGAATGTGCTTGAGGAGAAGCTAGCTCTAGATACAGAGATAGCTGTGTACAAAGGGTTGATTGAGGCTGAAGAGCGTAGGCTAGCCAGGTAATTTAGTTTCAAGAAAACCATGTTTTTTTCATTTTTATCTTTAAAATAACTATAGACACTTGCCACCAAAAATATTATCAAATACAATAGATGACACAGCACGTAAAATTAATTAAAACTAAGTACATTTTTATCTCTGATAAACTATTTAGAATATATAGTCCAATAAAAAAATCTTAATATAACGGGTAAAACTGTGTTCCGAAGAAAAGGTTCACTTACTTAAAACAGCTTTATTTATGTGATATTTCAATGTTTATTGTCAAACAGAATATTTGGTAATTTTGATAATTTTGATTAAAATGCTTTAGTTTGCAGTGAAATAATTGCTGTTTAATGTGTTCTTTCTTTTCCAAAATTGATATTCAATGTATTTTTGGTACAGCATAGAACACAGATAAAGCGGTGTTAATTGGAATTTTAAATGTTCACAATTACCTTGTATTCTATGACTTGTAGTCCTACCAAGACTAATTATTGTGGTCTGGACTAGTAGTCCTACCAAGCTAGGCTAATTATTGTATTATAGGGCTAGAAGTCCTACCAAGACTAATTATTGTGGTCTGGGCTTGTAGTCCTTCCAAGCTAGGCTAATTATTGTATTCTAGGGCTAGTAGTTTATACAATGACTAATTATTGTGGTCTGGGCTAGAAGTCCTACCAACCTAGGCTAATTCTTGTATTCTAGGGCTAGTAGTCCTACCAAGCTAGGCCATCTATTGTAATCTAGGGCTAGTATTCCTACCATGCTAGGCTAATTTTTGTATTCTAGGGCTAGTAGTCCTACCAAGCTAGGCTAATTATTGTATTCTAGGGCTAGTAGTCCTACCAAGCTAGGCTAATTATTGTATTCTAGGGCTAGTAGTCCTACCAAGCTAGGCTAATTATTGTATTCTAGGGCTAGTAGTCCTACCATGCTAGGCTAATTATTGTAATCTAGGGCTAGTAGTCCTACCAAGCTAGGCTAATTATTGTATTCTAGGGCTAGTAGTCCTACCATGCTAGGCTAATTATTGTAATCTAGGGCTAGTAGTCCTACCAAGCTAGGCTAATTATTGTATTCTAGGGCTAGTAGACCGGCTAAGACTACTGAAAGAAAGAGCAGTAGCAGCAGTGAAGAAGAATCAGGATTCTTTGATAAAATTAAAGCGAAGATCGAAGATGTATTAGATTAATTTCTATTCTCTTTTTAAAGGAAGCACTGCATGAAGATATTCAGTCTTACTTCAATTATTTTCCAGCTTCTAGTATATCTATTATATTTATTCCACATTCTTAACATTTAATTATCACGCATTTTGCACAATATTATTATAATTTTTATTTTAGTCCAAGCTACAACCTTGATTGTACAAGATACACATTACACATTTATTAAATAAATCTAAAATTTAAACAAAATCATTATTTTGTACTTATTTTTCCTTTGTCTAGCTTAATCCTTCTTCAGTTTGGCAGATCTGATCAGATTTCTAGAGTATATAAATATGAGCAATTTTTGGATACCAATTGAGTCAAAACAAGTGTAGGCTTAATAGTACTGCAGTTCAAGTGAGCCTCCATTTTTAGAGGAATATTTTCGATTCACAACAGTACCCTGTAAACCTTTGTTTAATCATCGCGACGGTAGAGAAATCCGTGTGTTTACCTCTAAAATGGTGTTCAAATTACCGGAAAACTGCAGTGTATGCACTTGCGTCCTTTGCAGTTTTCAAAAATTTAAATGAAAATTTCATTTTCTGTTAGTTCTAAAAAGTAATTGTTAAAATTTGTCAAATATAAAACAGCTTTTAAACAAAGTAATCAAAAATTACAAGTGTTTCTGTAAATAAATAAGGATAAGTCCGTTATTCTTAAACAGTCGAAGGTTTACTGTACTGTTGTGAATCGGAAACTCCCTCAGTAATTGGAAGGTTACTTGAAATTACACCTAAACTCTAAAGTCTCTTTAAGAATACAATTTCGACCTTCCAATCCGCAGAAATAAAGACAGACAGAATTTTATTAAAATACAAAAATCTCTAGTAGTAAAAAAGGGAAAGATTAAAGGTGATATTATCTTAAAGGGTAAGAAAATTTGTTTAGAAGCTCAGTAATTGTGTTAAACTGATTTTCGCACAATAGATAAAACTAAAATATGAGCGCGTGGATTTACTGTTAATTTGATATTTACCGAATCCATGAGAAGAATAGGGTTAGGATCGTTAGAGAAGCTGCAATCCACAACAATACAACATCAAGGCACAGATACTGAACTAGATTCAGATCTCCATCATTTATTCGCAGATGTTCAAAATTGCCATACTAAATACAGATATTTTTATTCACAGATGTTCTAAACTTCCACAATAAATACAGATATTTTAATTCGCAGATGTTCAAAACTTCTATACTAAATACAAATATTTTAATTCGCAGATGTTCAAAACTTCTATACTAAATACAAATATTTCTATTCGCAGATGTTCAAAACTTCCATACTAAATACATATATTTTATTTGCAGATGTTTAAAACTTCCATAGTAAATACAGATATTTTTATTTGCAGATGTTCAAAACTTCCATACTAAATACAAATATTTCTATTCGCAGATGTTCAAAACTTCCATACTAAATACAGATATGTCTATTCGCAGATGTTCAAAACTTCCATGGTAAATACAGATATTTTTATTTGCAGATGTTTAAAACTTCCATAGTAAATACAAATATTTCTATTCGCAGATGTTCCAAACTTCCATACTAAATACAGATATTTTTATTCGCAGATGTTCAAAACTTCCATACAAAATACAGATATTTTTATTCGCATATGTTCAAAACTTCCATACTAAATACAGATATTTCTATTCGCAGATGTTCAAAACTTCCATACTAAATACAGATATATAAGTGAACCGATGTTCAAAACTTCCATAGTAAATACAAATATTTTAATTCGCAGATGTTCAAAACTTCCATAGTAAATACAGTTATATAAGTGAACCGATGTTCAAAACTTCCATACTAAATACAGTTATATAAGTGAACCGATGTTCCAAACTTTTATAATATAGGAGTCACAGAAGTTCTTAGTAAGATTTTGACTCCACTGGAGACCGCCAGAGGGAATTCAATTTTACTGGAGGGGTTTAAAAAATCGCTTTTAACAATTTAAAACTTTACGCAGGGTGATTTACATTCCACTGGAGGGATTCAGATATATATTCAGAGGGTTTATAATTCCACTGGAGGGATTCAGATATATATCCAGAGGGTTTATAATTCCACTGGAGGGATTCAGATATCTATCCAGGGGATGTATAATTTCAATGGAGGGTTTATAATTCTACTGGAGGGATAAGATATTCTTCTATGAGGTATTCAATTCCACTGGAGGGATTCAGATATCCTTCCGTGGGGTTATAATTACATTGGAGCGATTCAGATATCCTTTCAAGGGGCTTAAAATTCCACTGGAGGGATTCAGATATCTTTCAAGGAGGTTTATAATTCCACTGGAGGGATACAGATATTTATTTAGGGGATTTATAATACCACGGATTCAGATATCATTCAAGGGGGTTCATAATACCACTGGAGGGATTCAGATATCCATCTCGGGGTTTTATAATTTGGACTGAGGGATTCAGATGTCCTGCCAGGGGGTTTATAATTCCACTGGAGGGATTCAGATATCTTTCAAGGGGTTTTATTAATCCTCAGGAGGGATTTAGATGACCTGGGGGTTTATAATTCTACTTGAGGGATTCAGATAACCATCCAGGGGGTTTATAATTCCACTTGAGGGATTTAAATATCCATCCAGGGGGTTTATAATTCCACTTGAGGTATGCAGATATCTTTCCTCCAGTGGAATTATAAATTTTATTCCTCAATAAAATTATAAGCCCCCTGAATGCATATCTGAATCCCTCCAGTGGAATTGTAATTCCCCTAGATAGATATCTGAATCCCTCCAGTGAAATTTTAAACTTCCTGGATGGATATCTGAATCCCTCCAGTGAAATTATAAACCATCATGAAGGATATTCCATCCAGTGGAATTTTAAAATCCCTGGAAGAATATTTTTATCCCTCCAGTGAAATTTTAAACCTCTGGATATATATCTGAATCCCTCCAATGAAAGGATAAACCCTCTGGAAGGATATCTGAATCCCTCCAGTCAAAATATGAACCCCCTGGATGGATATCTGAATCCCTCCATTGGAATTTTAAACCCCCTGTATAGTACGATGAATCCCTCCAGTGGAATTTAAATCCCCAAGAAGGATTTATAAATCATTCCAGTGGAATTATAAACCTCCTGGATAGTTATCTGAATCCCTCTAGTGGATTTTTAAACCGTCAGGAAGGATATCTAAATCACTCCAGTGGGATTATAAACCCCACAAATATTTAGCTGATTCCCTCCAGTGGATTGTCACCCTGAGTAAAGTTTCAAAATGTAATAAGTGACTTTTCAAACCCCTCCAGTGAAAATGAAATCCCTCCGGTGGTCTCCAGTGGAATTGAAATCTCTTCGTTGAGTCAATATATAGATGAACAGATGTACAAAACGTCCATACTATAGATATAAATGTATGCAGGGTTACCCACAAAAGAGGAGACTTCAGAGACGACTGTATGGAATGTATTCTGTTTGTTTTCGTATATTTATGGTTCCCTGCAACTGTAAACTTGTTTTGTTCTTTCTCAAATCATTAAATAAGCCATTAAACGACTGTTACACGACGAAATCATCACGTTCTGAACTCCCTCTTCATACAAAAGATGTGAAACCCCTGAAGTCGAGAGGGGAACAAGTCCGAAGCGACGAAACTAGTTTTGATTTGTAACCTTTACCTTATATATTTATACTGTGTCCGCCAATTATCGTCAGTTACACTTAATATTTTGATACAAAAGTATATTGTTGTGATCTGCTTATTGCACATTAAGATATTAATTAATTAAGCATAACTATGTTCTTTTATGAGCTTTTATCCTTGTATTGGTTCGAATTAAGTTTAAATTTATCCATCGGGCAGTCTTTTATTGATTGAACCCGTAGCTGGAACTATTCAGAGCACCGTTATCTCGAGAGAGTAAGCCTAAAAGAAGTAATGTTTTTTCCTGTACTGATCTCAGACATAGTCCTGGTTCCAATCAAAACCTCATAGGAGATTATGACATGGTTGATACTTAAGGAGGCCAGATTCGGTCGCGAAACAATTACTATATTCAAGGCATTAGACTTAATCCAACCTTGATATCATCAAACTTAAAGATTTGCAGGTCGTCTTATTAATCTCATCCTTTGTGGATAAACAATTGTTCAAAAATTCCATATTAGATACAAAATATATAGATTAGCAGATGTTAAAAACTTCCATATTAGATAAAAAATATATAGATTAGCAGATGTTAAAAACTTACATACTAAATACAAATATATAAATGAACAGATGTTCAAAACTTCCATACTAAATACAAATATATTGGGAGAATATTTTTTCAAGGAAAGGTCCCATAAAACAGTCCCTTTTAAGGCAAACCTTGATAAGGAGTTCGATCCAGTAAATTGCTTCATCAAACGAGGAAAATCGTTCATCTTTCCACATTGCTCTGTGTTGTTCTACTTTAGCTTTGTAACTAAAAAAAGAAATATAGCTTTAGTTATAGTTGCCATTTACGTCTTGTAAGAAGCTTAAAACCCTTGTTCAACAGAGTTAATTTACGTTATTCAATAAGAACAACGTAATTCCAAGGTCCAAATGCGATTGCTCAGAAGTATTTTTGACCAAATGACCCGAAAACTGAATTTTTCCTTCAATTTCTATTAATTTTTAGCAGCATCGTGTATTGTAAATAAATACTAACCGAACTTCCATGTGTTGAGAGATAAAATAAACAACAAGAAGGATGGCGGTAAACAGCCTTTTTTAATTTGAAATATTTCTGAGGAAGTTTGGGGTTGACACGCGGAAATACAGTGCATTAACTTAGCAATGATTTTGTTAATAAATTCAACTTTGTGAAGTGGGATGTTAATGTTTATCCAATCCCTGGGGAAATGGAAAATTTCGTTCGACATACTACCAGTGGTGAACACGTTCGACATACTACCAGTGGTGAACACGTTCGACATACTACCAGTGGTGAACACGTTTGACATACTACCAGTGGTGAACACGTTCGACATACTACCAGTGGTAAACACGTTCGACATACTACCAGTGGTGAACACGTTATTTTATCAAGTAAAATCAGCAGGAAAAAAATATTTTACCTCGAATTATTCATGATTTCATTTATACTCCTAAGAACCTCTTCTTTCACAATACTATGTCTATTCAACATCAAACCTAAAAATATTGAAAACATATTTTGATGTATTATTTTTTGCTTAATTATTCTAAATTATTACCAAACCCCTTGTCTTTTATTTTTTCTGCATTTTCAGGTTGATCAGCAAACACGGGCATCGCCAGTATTGGAACTCTAAAAAAGTTAAAGACTTTATTTTTATCTCGATTTACCGTAATCCCTTCTAAAACTGACCATAATCCCTTCAGCTTAAAGTTTTCCCTTCTAGAACTATAACACAATCCCTTATTAAGGCGAAGGTTTACCCTTACAGCACTATAACACAATCCCCTTTTAAGATGAAGGTTTATCCTTCTAGTTCTAGAACACAGCCCCTTATTACCCTTCCAGTACTAGAACACAGCCCCTTATTAAGGTGAAGGTTTACCCTTCAAGAACTTTAACACAATCCCTAACTAAGGCGAAGGTTTACCCTTCTAATACTAGAACACTGCCCCTTATTAAGGTGATGGTTTACCCTTCGAGTACTAGAACACAATCCTTTTTTAGGTAAAGATTTACCCTTCCAGTACTAGAACACAATCACTCATGAAGGTGAAGGTTTGCCCTTCCAGTTATAGAACACAATCCCATATTAAGGTGAAGGTTTACCCTTCCAGTACTAGAACACAATCCCTTATTAAGGTGAAGGTTTACCCTTACAGAACTAGAACACAATCCCTTATTAAGGTGAAGGTTTACCCTTACAGAACTAGAACACAATCCCTTATTAAGGTAAAGGTTTACCCTTCCAGAACTAGAAGACAATCCCATATTAAGGTGAAGGTTTACCCTTCCAGAACTAGAAGACAATCCCATATTAGGGTGAAGGTGTACCCTTCCAGCACTAGAACACAACCCCTTATTAAGGTGAAGGTTTGCCCTTCCAGAACTAAAACACAATCCCTTATTAAGGCGAAGGTTTATCCTTACAGAACTAGAACACAATCCCTTATTAAGGTGAAGGTTTACCCTTACAGAACTAGAACACAATCCCTTATTAAGGCGAAGGTTTACCCTTACAGCACTATAACACAATCCCTTATTAAGGCGAAGGTTTACCCTTACAGCACTATAACACAATCCCTTATTAAGGTGAAAATTTACCCTTCGAGAACTAGAAGACAATCCCTTATGAAGATAAAGGTTTACCCTTCCAGTACTAGAACACAACCCCTTATAATGGAGAAAATATTACCCGTAATATATTGCCTCCAAAACACTGTTGTGTCCACAGTGGGTAATAAACAGGACAGTTTGGTTCTGTGCTAAAAATTTTAACTTTTATAAAATTTTCTATCAAAGATTTTAAAAATTTCGTTTGTTATGAGCATAAGTATTATTTAACAAAAAATTCAGTTAAACAGAATTTTACATATAATGGATCTTAGGATTTTCTCGTTTTTGATATTTCATGAATTTTTGTAAAACATTTCATGCAATGATCTACTCATTAAGATTGTTTCTATGTTTATTTAAAAAACGCTCATTTTGTAATCTCTGTATTTTTACAACCTGATGTCTTAAACCGTTGATATTTCAATTTCTGTGAGATCTAATGTTTATAAGTTTGAAATATTACAAGTTCACACAATCTTGTTGGAAAGATATAGGGATTGTAAAATTACAGATTGAGGTAAGTGTAAGTTTCTTTCTATCCATACTGCTACCTAACAGATCTTGCTGCGGAAACCAATCCACAACCATGACATTTTCAGGAATAGTTTCTAATAACGTTCTGTCAAACCTGACAAAGATCGAGTAGCATGATTTATTATTAATATTTATTATTTTGTGTCCAAGAAAATGATTAATTGCCTCAAACTTCAATTTTCTAATATATCGCAACCTGGTGGTATGGAAGTTTGACAATTTAAATGCATATATAGCTATTCAATCAAGGAAAATGTATAGCTTGAAAAATCAAAGGTTTATGACATCAGGTTGCAAAGATATAAGGATTTGAAAATATAAAGTTTGATGAGAATAATCAGCTTCTTTACCTCATGATTACACGTTGCTTGATTCTGGAAAAAGCAAAAATAAATGCCTCAATTACATATTTAGGAATATCTCTCGGCGTAAATCCTAAAACATTAGATTTGTAATGTAATCAATTTATTATTTAATTAAAGAAGACATTTACATCCGCATATGATATGTGTGTATATATAAAGCTGAAAGTATACATGTATATCCTAAACTAAAAGTATACCTGTATAATGTATATACTAAACTTTAAGTATACCTGTATAATGTATATACTTAACTTAAAGTATACCTGTATATCATAAACTAAAAGTATACCTGTATATCCTAAACTAAAAAGTATTACTCCATTCTCAGATCCCGCAACAAATTCTTTAAATCTAAAATAGTGAGAACTATTAAAGAATATATATAAAGCATTATTTACCTGGCGAGGGGTAGAACTAGAATAACAATTCTAACTTTTATCTCAAAATGTCATGTCTTTCCCCAGATCAAGCTCAGACAGCTTTACATCCCATTCCCATGTGTTACCACTTATATTATGTAGAATAGGCAGCCCCAGGACAATAGCACGGTCAACTGGGGAAATAAAGTGACCAGCCGGACAATAAACTCATACCAAATTAAAACCCACATTATTGCCTGGCTCGATCCGGATATGAAAAGAAAGTGTATTTAGAAAAAATCTGAAACCTTTTAAGTTAAGATGAGGAAGGAAAATAATTTAATAGCTGAGAGTGAAAGGTGAACCATTTTTTACTTACTTTATCGGCAATTCTTTTGATTCTTTAATATGCATCCCACCAACATACTTAGTGTTAGGAGCAATCAGCCGTGGGTAGTCAACAAAGAAATTGTTGTGCACTGTCCGTTTGATTCATATTTGATATTTTCAAAAACTTTTTTATGTTGGTCTTCTTTGCAATCAAACTAACGTTGTTATCAAAAAACCTTTTCAATAAACCTCAAAAATTGTTTTACATAATTTGGGGCAACAAGCACAAAAGCAAAGACATTAAATCTGGAAAGCACTTTTCTTAAATCGTAAGGATTAAAACAAATTATCGATTGAATGACATTTTTTGTTTCTTCTTGACCTTTCTTTCAAGATTAAATGAGAAAAATTGACTCAATCATACAACTGTTCATTATTATTTGTTATATAACCAACTGATTACTCGCCCCAAACTCAAACTTTAAATTCTATAAATCTTCATAACAGCTGATGTTGTAGACTTTCGATATTTCAAACTTCATTCTGTGTGATCATAAAAGTTCAAGTTTGGAATATGAAACTTAAACTTGAGAGGAATTGAGTCATTGCCACAAATTCAAATGTTCTAATCCCTATTTATTTGATCTAACAGAACTCATTAGCAGTATGTATGTATATATAATGAGCTAGATCTATATCATGAATATTGAAATTCTTAGAGCTATATCTATATCATGAATAAATATTGAGTTTCCAAGAGCTAGATCTATATCATGAATATTCCTTGTTCTTGATCTATATCATGAATATTGAGTTTCCTAGAACTATATCTATATCATGAATATTGAGTTTCCTAGAAATATATCTATATCATGAATATTGAGTTTCCTAGAACTATATCTATATCATGAATATTGAGTTTCCTAGTTCTAGATCTATATCATGAATATTGAGTTTCCTAGAGCTAGTATATCTATATCATGAATATTGAGTTTCCTAGTTCTAGATCTATATCATGAATATTGAGTTTCCTAAAGCTAGATCTATATCATGAATATTGAGTTTCCTAGTTCTAGATCTATATTATGAATATTGAGTTTCCTAGTTCTAGATCTATATTATGAATATTGAGTTTCCTAGAGCTAGATCTATGTCATGAATAATAAGTTTCAGATTTCTAGATCTATATCATGAATATTGAGTTTCCAACTATATCTATATCTATAACTATATCTATATCATGACAATTGAGTTTCCTAGTTCTAGATCTATATCATGAATATTGAGTTTCTTAGAGCTAGATCTATATTATGAAAATTTAATTTTCTTAGTTCTAGATCTATATCATGAATATTGAGTTTCCTAGAGCTGGATCTATATCATGAAAATTAAGTTTCTTAGAGCTAGATCTATATCATGAATATTGAGTTTCCTAGAGCTAGATCTATATCCTGAATATTGAGTTTCCTAGAGCTAGATCTATATCATGAATATTGAGTTTCCTAGAGCTAGATCTATATCCTGAATATTGAGTTTCCTAGGGCTGGATCTATATCCTGAATATTGAGTTTCCTAGAGCTAGATTTATATCACGAATATTGAGTTTCCTAGTTCTAGATCTATATCATGAATATTGAGTTTCCTAGAGCTAGGATCTATATCCTGAATATTGAGTTTCCTAGAGCTAGATTTATATCACGAATATTGAGTTTCCTAGTTCTAGATCTATATCATGAATATTGAGTTTCCTAGAGCTAGATTTATATCACGAATATTGAGTTTCCTAAAGATAGATCAATATCATGAATCAGATGAGCAGAATCTACCAGGTCAGGGTAGTTTTTCTAAGCAAATCAAATACAGATAAAAGTTATTCAAATACAAAACAATATTAAAAGTTAATAATAGATCGAAATTCTGAATGATTTAAATGTAACTCCTTGTTCTGAAGAACTTAAAATAAATAAATGGTTAAAAATTCTTGTATTCAAGCAAACAAGTTTTATTTTCTTATCAGTCTTAAAGTCTTATCAGTTTTTTTGGCATAAATCTAATAATATTTGTTAAGTTAAAGTGACAACGTTCACAAAACAAAATTATTTAAATATTCATATTTTATTTTACCCACTGTGTTTTGAAATATATTTGATGTCAAACGAAAAGAATATAAAAAATAGTGGACGAAATTTTAAGTGACCCTTCCTTTATTGAGTGGCATGCCATATTCACAGTACTAAGGCGAGACGCAGATCAAACGTCACAAACGTTTATTCAAATATATAAATATGTAAAAAACTTGTAATGAGACTGGATATACATTCAATAAATATATATCCGACTTCTAACTACGGTAGAGATCATATAAAGGTCATCTTCTGCCCGCCACAGTATACCCTTAAAACCATGTATTTGAGGTCGGATATCGTCGTTTATCCAATTGGAAAAGTGTTTAATTCTAAATATGTTTTTCTTTCTCTTATGTTGCATAAATCCTCAATTCACTTTTCCAGAGAACCGCATACGAAAATGATTTACTTTAAGTTAGAAAATGCCACTCTAAAAATAAAGTGTCACATTAAATTGCGTCGACAGCTTCCCTTTGAACATCATTTTTTGTTTTCTTACTTTTATATAAACATCTGCAGTAGATGCTTGCCAGTACTGTAGAACAGCATGTCCAAAATAATAAAGAAGATTTCTAAACAAAAAATATTTGAAAACTTTTAAATGGAAGAAAATTATTAGAAACCATTAATTGAACTAAACTTATCAGATTTCAAAATATCAAGTAGCTGTTTTGAAATCCTTGTCAAAATCCTTAGAAAAGGTGTAAAGTCTAGAATCGATTCAGAATAATGTTCACAACCCCTTTAAAAAGAATAAACCTACTTGTTTCTCTGCCAGAAGTTCATATTTCTACCTAGACCAGACATAAAGCTTGGAACAAGAGAGGCAGGGTTCCAGCTACTTGTGTACCGCACCTACAAACAGATTTTATGAAGTAATTAATATACAGTTTAATGAATTGATATTAAAACTTAAATAAAATAGCAATTTTTATAAAAAGTAAAATTATGTTTTCCTCTAGCTGTAATTCATTAATGTGGAAGCTCACATGTTTGCCACGCATACAAACAGTCAAAACATAAAATTCTATCCATGACCAACTTTTGAAAATAATAAAAATACTATACCTCTCCTCCCTGGTATCCGAATCCCCAAAAACTTGCAACTGGAAGCCCCAAAACACGGGCAAAAGCTAAACCACATTCATTTGCTGAAAAAAATGCATATTATTTTGGTATAAAAAAATTTCTCAGATTTTGATTTTTTTATGTAAGAGCATTTGAACATTTTGAAGTTTAACAACAAAATAAACAAGAAAAAATATGTAAATATAGATAATTAATGCTTACCAATTAAATCCACGATAGCCACATCAAATCTCGTTGCATTTAAAGTTTCCAACAGCCTCTTATCCTGTAACAAAAACGTGTCTAGATTGTATCCAGAATGAATTCCCAAGGAGCGGCTGTCAGTAGTGTTGGACGTCCAATCCATTTGACCCGTTTTTTTTTAAATATTTAAGGTTTTAAGGCTTTTAAGAAAATCCACAAAATCTGCAAAGTTTACCTTATGCATCTTATGGAGTCTGGCAGAATATATGATTAGACCTTATGTCTAATTACATGATATATGGTGGGGTTTGAAATGTTTACTGAAAACTTATTACGGAATATATGGAAGCGTTATTAAATTGTGGAGCTGATTTCTGTTGAAGGATGCTGCTGTAGGGAAGCTGCTAGAAGCTGGTATATACATGAATCCTATAGATCCTGGAGCTTTCTGGTTCAGGACTGTTGAAGGCTGCTGCTGTAAGGGAGCAGCTAGGAGCCTCTTAAAATAGAATCCAGGATTTGGATAGCTGTCTAATGTAGGCTCCTATGTGTTGCCTTGGTCCGAAAATGATGTTTCTATTTGGAATACAAACTTATAAATGCATTCTAACAATTTTATCATAACAGCACAAATACTATTTCTAAATAGGTTCTTTTTGCATTCGTTTGTGATGTTTACAAAAAAGGAAATTTAGCTTACGTTAACACCCGGCAGAGTTGCTATATATATATATATATATATATGGATGATTGAGTAATATTTTATTATTCTTTGTTAAAAAAACGTACTTTGAACTCCCTTACAATATACGCCTGAACGAGGCAAAAAAATCGTTCAGAACATCTTAGGATCAGGCATTAATCTCAATCTCATGCGGATTAATAATTCCTCTCCAATATCCCGAGGTGGTGATACCCTGCGAGATAATTAATATGAAGAAATCAAGCATCTATCCTCAAATTTAAAAATGCTCACATTGTATTATGAGATCAAGAGTTCAAGATTAATGATATACTCTACACATGAGTTACGATCTCGTTGTTTATTGCTTTTTGCAATCTGCACTGTTTTTTGAAATCACTCCGAGAGAAAACATTGCATTGAGGCAAAGTATTCATTGCTCAATGCTCAGTGTAGTCTTTCAATATTTTTCCTAAATTAAGAAAATATTTTGAAATATATAAGCTTCGTGTAGATAAATTCATATTATATTTCAAAACAGATCAAATTGGATGAGCAATCTAAGTCAATTATAGGTTCATTACGTGAATCGACATTTAAATGTCGTGTCATTTTTTTACATCTTTTGAGAAAGGGCACAAATTATTTTATAGATACAAAAATAAGTAATGATTTTTGTCTTCAAATGGAGTACCGTGGGTGTGATTAACATGATTTTGCGGACACCTTAAATCCTTTACCTTACCTCAAGCATCATTTTACAGTGAACATGTGTCACACAATACAGATCATATGGTATTGAATACGGCGTATCTGCAGAATTCCAGATTACAGGTCCCTTAAACAAGAATACAGATCATATGGTATTCAATACGGCGTATCTGCAGAATTCCAGATTACATCTCCCTTAACTATATTCCAACTGATGTGTGGTTTACCCAAAAAAGACTTGGGGGGGGGGGTTCACAGTGCCCCCCCTCTATGTCCTTATTGTGATACAAATCTTTAACATATGATACATGTATGGAAAGCCATTGTGCTTCACTTCAATAATCTGCCAAAAAAATTGCAAATTTACTAAATTTGTATTATTTATGGCAAAATCAAGTTTTTTAGCGAAAAATGTGCAAAACAAAAAGTGCGCAAACTATGATAAATTATACATTTTCGAAAAGCTCTTGCCCAGTATGCAAAAATGTTTGCAAAATTTTATAACCTAAATGTGTATTCAAGTAATACAAAAATTGTGCAAATTCCCATTTAAGGCGTCTGTGCAAAAATCTACGCAAAATATCTTTAAGTTGGAGGAAGGGATGGAAGGTAGAGGGCGGAGAAGGAGGTGAAGGATTGGAAGGTGTAGTTACGGGGGGAAAAAGGAAGGTAGGGATGGAAGGTGGAGTCAGGGGGCCGTAGGAAAGGAAAGGATAGAAGGTGGAGTGGGGGAAAATGAAAAAGGGATGTAAGGTGAAGGGGGGGGGGGGAAGCCCCCCTGGAAAAGCATAAATAACTATGTTATATAGAAGAATATTTTCACATTTTTTTTATTAAAAACCGATTTTTTCTTTGATCTTTAGGTCTTTACAATATGAAATTAAACTTATTGACTTAAACTTTAAAAAAAATATCTGAAGATATGAAAATCCTATCCCCACACTTGAAAAAAAAACAAAAATAAAGCATCGAAATCTGGATAGAGTTCAATATAAAAACAAAGGGAACATTTTGTGTAAAAATTTGACCACTAAAACTTTGAACGCGTTCTTTGAATTTATAGAATAAATATGTGAATAAATCCATTTCGATTTATAAAAAATTGCCCTTATCGTTTTTGAAAAAAGTGCCAAAAATGTAAGTATTACAAAAACTTTATTTAGATACTAATTTAATTAAACAGATTTGTTAGATTAACAAAGGAGGGAGGGGTGGCTGCTCCGAAACCCTGTGAGCAATTTCAAAACCCTGAGAGCGGCCACCCCTTCCTGAATGAAGTGTACTTACCATATTTTTACCGATATCAAATTCTCCGTCTTCATTTATATATCTATAAATAAAATCAAGGTTCAATTTTCTATTCTATATTCCATGTCAAAGGAATTCAGTCTAATACCTATATCTTTGCAACCCAATATCGTAAAATTAGATATTTTAAACTATGAATTCTATTAGATCAAATAATCTACGTTGTTTGAAATATCAAAGGAATTTACACCATCATGTTGCAAAGATATAGGGCCGTCTACGTCAAATAAACTAATATTTAAATCTTTGAATTTAATGATATCAAACCTTCGATATGTTAGCTGGTTGTTTAGATGGTTGCTTGCTAAATTGTTTGCTTTTTTAAGTTGGATGGACTTGGATGAGCTTGAATGAGCTAGGATGAGCTAGGATTAGCTAGGATGAGCTAAGATGAGTTAGGATTAGCTAGCTTTAGCTAGGATGAGCTAGGATGAGCTAGGATTAGCTAGGTTTAACTAATCTTTTTGATATGGAAGAATTTTTAGTGTGACATGTCAAATATCACAGGTTTACGACATCAGGTTATAAAAATATTAGGATGAGGCAAATTTTCTTAATTGAAACTATTATATATTCTGAGATTAAACCAAAGCATTCGTTTGTTTTATTACCAGCATTTTGAAAAACAGATATCTTAGATTCTTAAAAAAAAAATAAACAGTATCTGTTTAGGAGATTTTTTCAGCTTGTCTTTTTAGTAAAATATCGTAAACTCAAAAATAAAAGTTTTTGATATAACGTAAAATTTACCTTGAGCACGGATATTTTTTTCCATCTATTGGAACAGTTATAACATGAACCCTATAATTGAATTAATTTTTATTATCAATTTTTATGGGATTAATTTTCTAAAATTGGTTTATATAGATTAAAAAAATCGTAGAAACAATTACAGAACGATTAATTTAATTAATTTTCAACGGATTTAAATAAGTGGGAAGTATACCTGGTGTCTAGGTTATTCTGAGAGTTGGTCTGCAAGAAGCGCACCTTAATTAAAAACTTCATACATAAACTTTGGCGTAAGTGGTAAACATTAGAACTTGTTGTTGAGAATATGAGTCAACGTGATTTTACCTGGGTTACATTGTGTCCACGCCTCACTAACTCATCTCCAATAATTCTGAAGAAAAGTACTTTATTCATTATTTGTGTATTGTGCATGTTTTAGTGTACTTTTCAGAGTGTTAATATTTGCCCAAAGTTTATCTATTTTATAACAAAAAAAGAATTTGATTTGAAACAAATATTGTAATGGACCATTTTTGGACGCAGAAACCAATGCATTTATTCCTTATGAATTCTTTCAATGAAAATAAAATTAAGATGTTACATTTATTATGATACAAGAAAGAAGGTAATAGAGAATAAGAACGATTCAAGCTAATAAATACAAGCTTATCAATTTAAAATACATATTTCTTTTATTTAAATAAAATATATTTTACCTTAGAACCAACTCATGACTACCAGCATACAGGGGGTGGAGAACGAGAATATTGGATCCTTTAGCATACCTTAATTATAGATAATGCAACCCTGCACTATAATTTAATTATAGATAATGCAACCCTGCAGTATACCTTAATTATAGATAATGCAACCCTGCATTATAATTTAATTATAGATAATTTAACCATGCAGTATACCTTAATTATAAATAATGCAACCCTGCACCTTACAATAAGTAATGCAAACCTGCAGTTTATCTTGATTATAGATAATTCAACCCTGCAATATACCTTAACTATAGATAATGAAACCCTGCAATATCCTGTAATTATAGATAATTCAACCCTGCAGTATACCTTAATTATAGATAATTCAACCCTGCAGTATACCTTAACTATAGATAATTCAACCCTGCAGTATACCTTAATTATAAATAATTCAACCATGCATTATAATTTAATTATAGATAATTCAACTCTGCAGTATACTTTGATTATAGATAGATAACACCACAGTAAACTTGTTACCAATCTATGAAAATTCTACCTGGTCTAATCCCGAATTTTCATGGATTTAGAACTTACGTTCAACCAACTTTCACAACCAAAAACCCAATTAATTTTCCAAAGCCATAATTATAAAGCTTCAAATTTTCAATTTTTCTCTGCTCTGAGGAGATGATTTGACGGATTTATTACCAAGGAGTGCAAGTCAGAAATCCATCAAAATATCAAATCTATTTGTGTTTCACTTTTCCTTCAATAAATCTAAACACCGAAAAGCTTAAACTTACGACGAGATTTAGATCAAATCATGGACATCAGAGATAAAGTTTTATCAGATCGTTTGAAATATTTTTCTAGAGACTACATTAACTGTTAAAACGTAAAAAATTTATGTTTTTTAATATTTCTTCTGTAAAAGTGCTATTTTGTAGATAAATTATGGGTGCAATTCATTTTATCAATTCGTTTTAAAATGAGAAGAAAATGAAAATATGTTTCGATTTTTTTTTATGATTTTAGGGTTTGTGAACAAGAAGAATATGCATTTGGTGAACTGTCCCGTTTAACAGTCTATATGTTTATATGTATACTGTACACTTCTTGTTCTAGCTGCTTAAAAGTCGGTTTGATACTTTAAATGTACTTCTATTATAGATTTTAGAGCATAATAAAACATTTGTACCTACATTTTATAACTTAAAGAAGAAAAGAAGAAGACAATTATTAAACTGTTTTCTGAGCTGGGAACTTTAGAATGGATAAACTTTAATCCTGACTTCTTAATCCGAATATCCACTGTGGAAACTTTTCATTTTAGTCCTAATCCACTCTTTTTCTATCTCCTTGGATATCCGTAAATTGTTTTCTCCAATGAGAATATTTCTGTTCTCTCATTGGTTGTCTGCTTTTCTCTGATTGGCTGCTACAGTTTTTCTGATGATTACAGTTTTTCATACACTTTTAAGATAATCTGGCAAGATTATGTTAATCTTGAGATTATCAAAAAGAGAGGATCAAGCATTAATCCCGATATCCAACATTCTAAAGTTTTCAGCTCAGGTTATACAAAGGAAATTAAATTATTTTTATTAGCATTAATTTAGATTTCAAAATTTATCGAGGGAAGTAATTGTAAATATCTTTTGTTTCTTTTAAAAATAAAGATTTGGTAAAATGTATAGATTTTCCTACCTGAAGAAAATGCTCAAGAACACGGTCAAATATAATTTCATTTCAGTGAGTTCTGTTGATTTTGAAAATTTATAGAATTTAAATATTTATTAACAAGTTTTTTTTGAAATGCTTAATTTTCTTTGATTAATTATAAAAAGCCATCTTTTCTTGATGGCAACAATTAGCAATTGACAATTTAAATTTTAACTATTTGACGATTAGTAGATGAGTTGTAAAGTTATATCTAAAAATAAGTCTACAATACCAGGTCACAAATTTATAAGGTTTGTAGAAAATTAGAAAATTAATTCAAAGAGCTAGTTGCTCTATCATTTAAAAAAAGATTTTTCCGAAAAAATAAATATTTGAGTAAATTTGAAAAATCCACGTTGATAAATGAGTAACCGTGCTCTACTGAACTATTTGAAATTAATCGAGTCATGGTAGCTTACCTTCATATCAGGGAGCCAACATAATTATAGAACATGTGGAATTAATAAAAAAGTATGAACAAGTAAAAAGTATAATTTGTAAGATAGATACCAAAATGTTCAATTTTAATTATTATTATTTTAAATTAAAACTCTTTCGTACTAAACTAAATTTCTAAGTTTATAAAAATATCCCAATAATTTTAAAAAGAAGTTTTCCCTTCTTTGAAACCCCTAAATTGTATAATTTTGAGATGAAATTTTTAACCATATTATGAAAAATGACAAAATAATTTATTGATCCAAATAAAATAAATTTTAAGCAAAAAGTCATCATTGTGCGTTTAACATATGCAATCAACTTTGGTTAGCAGTGTCATGCTGAGTAAAAGACCGATTATAATACCTTTAACAGAATTCGTAAAGGAGTGCAGATTGATAACAAATATCGATGAAGTTAATAACAAAATAAATAGTCAAATGAAATTGAATTTTTGCCACAAAATTTTTTTTATTCCTATATCTTTGCAAATCAGAGTTTGTGGCAAAGACTCTTTTTATAGTTTATATTTTTCAGGTTTTCAGAGTTCCCCAAACGCGACAACTTATCTTTTTACTTGTGTATTAGCTATATGTATGTATAATATATATATGTATATTCTAAAAGACTTGCCCAATTGTTTACCAATTTTGGGTTAAACAATTTCTTGTAACTGTACCTGGTAGCACCCTCACCCCAATTTACCAATTTTTTACCAATTTTAACCTTCAAATTGGCCATATTTAAAACAAGAAATCAACAAGGAATACACAATTAACGATACACAAGTGTACACTCCTAGACTGTACAAAGCACAAACGCCAAGATTCTTATGTACTGTATATACCTACAGTACTAGTACACGCCTTCGGTTCGTTATCACTTACACACACTCTTTTGGTACAGACACACACACATGACGTTTCCGCCCTCTGATTTAAAAGTTTCAAATCGTCATCAAAGTTTTATATTAAGGTTTTTTGTAAATAAATTGCATAAGAGGGTCTTAGTAGATTAAACAAAAACAAAACAATAAGAAACCTAGCCTACATAGATAAAAAATTATCTATAGTTAAATAGGTCAAATAAGAAAGTCCATAGATTTAATCTATTTAAAGAAACACTAGATAAATAAATTGATAGGTTTCAATAAAATATATTAACAATTTACCTGAAATAGACAATCAGATATTAAAAAAAAATCAAAAAAAAATAATCCATTTGAGAGAAAGTAAAAATATCAAAGAAAGGTAATATTTCTGTGAGTCATCTCTCTTCATGTTTCATTTAGCAGGAAATTACACGTTAAAGATCAGGGGTATGTAAGTAAATGTAAACAGGGGGTTTAGAGATAATATGTACTCACGATACACAAGCAGGTAGAAATTTTGAGGTCTTGGAATATGGTGTTAGCGGAACCATTTATGTTTTACGCATGGCATTTTATCTTTTGGGAATGCGAAATAACGCAAAATTTGTACTGTGGTATTAACAATATATAAGTTAAAATTGTACTTAATGAAACAAGTTAATCAATGCAAATAAAACAATGGTAGGAAAGTGACTAGACAGAACTAGTTATAATCTGCACTTAAAGTTTTTTTTCTTCTGATAAAATTATATTTACTGTTTATTTTTATGTTTATAAAAAATATTCAATCTTTTTAATGTTTATTAGAGACAACAACTAATTCTTCATGCATAAAAAATACCTTGGCAGTGGCACCTACCTAACAATTAAATTTTATTGGTTAACCAGACTCCTTGAAGTATGCAGTTTGTAAGACGCGCACTGTATGTCAAATGTCCATGTTATGCAGATTTCCCACTGGAGAACGAAATATAGAAATTAAACAATGTGCTATAGGAGGGAGGGAACCCCCTGACGCCATGAGCCTCCGGTATGCAGACACAAGCCTCCCATATTTGCTGGGCAGACTGAGCCTCCACTATGCATACCAAGCCTCCGCTATGCAGACCGTGCCTCCGCTATCCAGTAAACGAGCCTCCACCATACAGCACAGCTTTTTTCAAATCTTGGTTTTCATGTGTAATGAAAATTATTATCAATTTTTTTGACGTAGTGGCATAAGAATTTTTCTTAAGATTAGAGTTATCTATTGACAGTCATGATTAGAAACGTATATGGACTCATAAAGTGGTTTATAAGATTTATACTAAAGAAGGAAAGGAAAATATTTGGAGAAAATTGAGTTTGTTTTGTTGTAATCTTTGATTTAAACATTAGATTATTTTGAAAAATGTTAAGATTTAAATAAATGATACCAATTTTTTAGATTTAATTTGAATTACATATGGAAGGTATCCAGGAGGCAGAAACGTCATGTGTGTGTGTGTCTGTACCAAAAGAGTGTGTGTAAAGTTTACCGAACCGAAGATGTGTACTGTAGTTATATACATTACATACAAATCTCTGTATTTGTACAGTCTAAAAGAGTACATTTGTTTATTGTTAATTGTTTAATTAAAAATAAGTTTAATATACATGTAGTATATTATTTATATATAATTTGAATATAGAATATAATTTGATTAAAGTTTACAGTAAACTAGTCGTTATTCGAGCTTAATAATAATTGACAACATTGTTCTGCAATTTCCTTGACTGTAGTCATGTTGTGTGTCTGTACCAAAAGAGTGTGTGCAATTTATTTTATAACACGTATAAAATACATAATAAATCATTTTATACAGCTAGATCCGCAAATTGCTTGTTTAGTTTATTTCCTATTTTTCCTTCTTTACATATTAATAATCCAGTCTTCTCTTTTCTGTTTGGTTGTATTCATTCAATACCTCTCTTCAGCTTTCCCAGCTTTCTTCTATATAGCTCCATTGAATCAGCTGGAGTATTCTTAACAACATTTAACATATGGATTTGGTTGACAAAATGTTGCCTTTTCAGAATCATTTGATTATATACGATTTGTGACTTAAAAGATTTTAGATTTATAAATTTAAAAAGGCTGGGTTGAATTCAAAAGTTGTAAAATTTAGAAACCGTTTTTATAATAAATGGATCTTTTTTTCATAATGGAATGACACACGTGTAATATATCACTTTTGTCTATTACTTTAAGAAAAATGAGAATATTTTTTTCAGAAAAAAAGCGAAAAAACTACCAAAAAATTCGGGATAAAAAAGGTAAAAGTTTTTTATCTTTTAAAATCAATTTCATTAAGGTGTTGCAAATACTCTCTTTAAATTACTGAGCATTTTTCTGGACTATTTAAAAGTAATAAAAGTATATAAATGCTACACAAACAAAATTCATACAATACGATTTGTACGCTTACACCAAAACGTTGCGTTGAAAACAGTCTTCTGTCAAAATACTATACAGTACGCACCAAAATACTATACAGTACGCACCAAAATACTATACAGTACGCACCAAAATAATATACAGTACGCACCAAAATAATATACATTACGCACCAAAATAATATACAGTACGCACCAAAATACTATACATTACGCACCAAAATAATATACAGTACGCACCAAAATACTATACAGTACGCGCCAAAATACTATACAGTACGCACCAAAATACTATACAGTACGCACCAAAATACTATACAGTACGCACCAAAATACTATACAGTACACACCAAAATACTATACATTACGCACTAAATACTATACAGTACGCACCAAAATACTATACAGTACGCACCAAAATAATATACAGTACGCACCAAAATTCTATACAGTACGCACCAAAATAATATACAGTACGCACCAAAAACCATGGTTGATGGTGTAACAATTAGTTCTTCATAACTCCGGCGAATAATTAAATATGTCTGGATTTTATTTAGATGTAAGAAAACAATGCAGAGATGGAATTTAAAGAATTTGAGCCGCGGTTTAAATCCGCCAAAACCCGGTTTAAATTTAGCGCCAGGTTATAAATCTTGAAACATTTGATACAATTTTAAGTGGAACCAACCATATTTTAGCCGCGGCTTAAATTTAAACCGCCGCTCAAATTCTTTAAATTCGGCCACTGTAAATATTAGGGTCTAGTTTTTATGATTATAAGTATAAAGTGTTTACGAGAAAAATGTGATATGTGTATAAATAAACATTTTACATGTTAATACAACTGTTCCAGCGACCTGTAAACTCAGCATTGCACACAATTGCACAGCTGTTATTTTTTCAAACACTTGAGTTGGATTCTTTCAAACTTGTCTTGTATTGAAATGGCATGTGGATTGTGTGGTAGAGGAGGTGAGCGTCCTAAATGATTTCCAACAGTACCCCTTACCTTTACCTGTTAACGAAAAAAGAAATACTTGTCTTTTTCCATAGATTAGAAATTGACATCGCGTAGATATGAGTTTTCTATAAAACGATCTACGGATTGTACAAGTACATGTTGTTATCTTTTTTCAGTGAACAAATAATTCGTATAATAAAATCCATTTTTAACAGTGCAAATATTGGACTATATAAAATAAAACAAAATAACAAAGAATCAGAGTGATTTGACGTTAATCTATATATAAATTTGGCTTGTCTGGGTGTCTGTTTGTCTGTTTGTTTGTTTGTTTGTTTGTATCCAATAAACGTCAAAACGGCTGAACCGATCGGGCCCAAATTTTTTGTGGGACATCTAGGGACTCCAGGGAAGGTTTATGAATCACCAAAATTTCAAATATTTGTCTCCATCAAAATTCGATCGTCATTAAATTTTTTAAAATTTTGAAAATCCGCGAAATTTTTTGTGAAAATCCGCGAATTATTTTTGTTTTGTTTTACGATGAACACAAAGAGAACATGTTCAAAATTAATTTAGGAGATGGGCGCGAAGCGCCCTCTAAGGCTAGAAAGAAGGGCGCGAAGCTCCTTGAATTTCTAGTTTTCTTATACTTACGATACATGCATTTAACAATATTTAAGCATTACATTCATATTGCAATATTTTCATTTTGGCCTAGATTTTGGACCAATTTTTAGGTGGGTAATTTTAGACTTATCAATTTTTGTAATAAAGAAACAAGAACATAAACTTTAGTGCATAGTGATCATTGAAGCTAGTGATAACTGGATCATATAAAGAATCTAAAAAGTTAATTACATTCACTATACAGAAGAAAAAACTTTATAAAATTTTATTAAATTTATGAATATTTTCAAGGTTTTCAGTGTTATACTATACAATGGATTCTTCTAGAATTAGTCATTCACATGCATAAGTTAATTGTAAAATACATCATTGGCTTTCTTTTTATGATTTTATTCTATTGATATTCGTAGTTAAAACGAGGGCAAGTGTCATGTATCAGTTTATGCTTTATAGTATCAGAATATAGAAGAAAAGTGAACAATTGAAATATGTTAAACTAACGTAAAAAAGAGGACTGAATGATTTTTTTAATTCCTCTGCTTCAAGCAACAATTTTTAAACAGTCCAAAAATGATTTTTTCGGTTAAAATTGTAATTGCATTTTTGATTTGGCTCAAATAAGCAACATTTTTAAAGGGTACATCATTTTTACCATTAATGAATAATATATGTACGTAATTAGATTTATGTTGTCTTATTTATAAGACGGAAAACAGAATTGTTTTCTAAGGGTTATGATTGTTAAAACTTTAAAAAATCGTTATTGTTTTCTAAACTATGTTGATTTAGATGCTCAAAATGAACAATATCATCTAAACATGACCTGTTTATTTTCTGGTTTTACTAAGGAACTAGATAATTTCAAAACTATCTTTACAACTTACGATTGAACAACTTGATGACTAAGTAAAAGTATTTTACATGCGTATATGTATATTTTACATGCGTATATGTGATGAATCTTTGTAAACTTAAGTTTGTTTTGTTTGCATTTCAGCTTTTGCCAAAATTCTATTTTATGGGTTGAAAATCCAACAATTGATTGCAATCTTGATTCAGATTATTAAATTTTGGTTTGCTAAATACATATTTATTGCAGTGGAATAATCCTTAAATCTTTAAAGCTCTGTAAATTTAAGAATTATCAACTCTGCAGGGATGTTTCCCATCTTCAAATAGGATCAGGAAAAGATTTATATTCATTAATGAAAAATGCATTCATACATATATTGCACACGCAAATACCTCTGTTGACTTATAGAGTGTTTGACATATAGCATATGACCATAGTTGTGGCGTTGCATATACATATATTTTAGATTCAAAATAGAATTCAATTGATAATTTTTATCAAAAGATCTTTTTAAGAAGCATTCGTCAAGAAAGTAAAGCTGCTCCTGATAAAACTGAAACGGTTAAAGATAAACCTGTGTTTTGTATTTATGATTCCGATGAGTCTGATACCGAAAGGAAAATTTCAGATATGAATCAATTCACCTGTACAAACATTTTTACTGAGTGTACTATACTTTTGAATTTTGAAATTAAAATAGACGTTTTTGGGGGTATCGCAAAATCCGAATGCTTTCTCGTAAAGACTTGTTTATGATACTTTCCAGATTTCTATTTGTATATTTCTATACTTTCACTTACGTTAAAACTCCGGGATGATCTACAATGCATGGTATAAAAATGCATAAACTATTGAGACTGCGCTACAGTGAAGTATTTCAAGCTTTTCTTCTTTATTTGAACTTGCGAACCCACTTACGATTTTATGAATATTTCATTGCTCCAAAACGTTTAATTTAAGATTTCGTTTTCAAGGAGTATTTGACTATAAATTCCAAACCGATTTCTACGACAGAATTTGCTTGTTTTAGACAACGACCCATATCATATAAGCTGGAATTTTACCAGACCCTCCCCTAACATATTATCTGCAATATATCCCTCCTCCTCCACCTCTTTTTCCTCCTCCACAGACTCAGTTAATTACACCACCTTGAGATCAACGAACCAGTCGCTTAAAGGAAGGTTTTCATGGTTCACTAATTTTTAAATCATTCCAATCCGTTTTGGCTATTAATTGTTATAATTCATATTTTATAAATCAGAGCTGTACACTTTTATTTAAATCAAAAGAAAAGAACTTTTATTTCCTCAATTTTTTCAATAATCAATTAAAAGTGAACTTTAAAATGGCGGTTGTTTAGGCCGGAGCAGAAAAAGTATTCAACCTAGAATACCATTGTCCAATTCAACAGGGAGAGATCTTGAAAATCCAACAATACAAATTTTAAATAAACATCTTGATTCTTCAGATACATATTAAAACTATGGGATTGAACATATATTTGCTTTTTTAGGTCGATATTTTTTTTGAACATACAGGGTTACCCACAAAGAATGAGACCTGAAACTCTTCAAATATAACCCCCTTAAGGTTATATTGGTGTTTTTGTCTAAAATGTAGTCTTTTAATAGTAATTTAAATGAGTTTGTATAGAGAGAAAAAAGTTTACAATGAATGTAAAAGAAAATACTGAATTCATTTTGTTACAGTTGTCGCTGATTCTTACTTTTTGTGGGTAACCTATATATATATATATATCAAAACTCAAAAGCTTACACAAGCGCAGTGCATGTGGAAAACTCACAATTTCCCCATCACACTGGCTAATGTATTTAAGAAGTATTCCATGTCGTCTTTGATCAGGGAGATTTCTTTCCAGCTTCTGTACAGACTCTTTTTATTCAAGTTCTGAACAGTTTGCTACAGAAACCAACCAAATTATATTTACTTGATCTTGATAACATAGTAGACACCTCTACAGACTCTACTCTAGAGATAACTCATGTACCGTATGTGCGACAAAGCTGTTATCCAAGCTTGCATAGATCTACGTTCATTTCATCAAGTAGAGGAATTGAAGCCCATGGTATAGAATTCCCTGTTTATTAGAAGGACTGTAGACGTAATTTCATGTGATCCCCTATATAAGAGATCTATGTCAGATGCACAACGGTACCCTCGCCACAGAATCAATGGAACAAATTGTGATAATCAACCATTTTTTAAGCTAAAATAACGACATCATCTTCCGCATTTTTGATAAGATAACAAAGGAAAGGTTACCCTCGTGAATTGTTCATATCCTCTTTTTAAATAAAAGGACACTTGAAATTACGTGAAACCTCTAAACAAGAATAGTCCAGAAATAAAAACAAAATTAAATGTAAAAGAGTTCAATCTGGTACAATCTCTGCATTTAGATATTTTTAAGAACAAATTCTGTTTGCTGTAAAAATCTGAAAATAAGCCTATAACTACAAATATAATAAGTATTTTCTATTAGTAAAGACTAAATTCTAAAACCATTAAAGGCAATTTTTAGATGTAAAAAAACCCATTTATTATACTTGTCGTATCAATTTCAAGATCCCATACTCAGAACTGAAAGGGACTGAAAGCGTAATACTAATTTCAAGTAATCCTCCATGCAAAGACGGCAATGCCCCGATTTCCAAAGGTTTCGAACCTTTATCTGATCAACAATGTGGAAGAAACCGTTGTTTTTTCTGACTCGAAAAGTTTTTATTTCTTCGAGTTCACCAATGCTTCTTATCAGCAAGAAATGTGAAAGTTACTGTCGAAGTCACTGATGCAGAGAAGCCGCAAAAAAAACATTTTAATGAAACAAAAACCTTGATTTCAAATTCATACTTGATCAGACAAATCTTTTCATGGTACCGTTGTAAATCGGGCATTGAAATCTTTGCATGGAGGGTCACTTGAAAATATATATATATATCAGAGGCGTTAGGGCTCAGCCCCCTCCCCCTGGATCAGTGAAATCTATGGTTTCCAGGGGGCAGGCCCCAACGGGAGCCTAGCCCCCCTTGAAAGAAAAATAATTTGCCCCTCCCCCTTAGACCTAGTCCTGTGTAAGCCCCTGATATATAGAAACATATGCCGACATTGTTGTTCTAGGTCGAGATATGGGGGCCGGAGAAAGCAAAACAAGTTTTCGTCAAGCGGTTAACCTACTGGATGAAAATAAAGATCTGTGGGAGCAGTTGGACTGGGAGAAAATAACCTCTATTCAGGTCAGACAAAAATAGTTTGTTATAGAAGAATATCTGATTGACCATAATGTAATAGATGTAAAGTGGCACCGGGCAGACTTTTAAGCAGAAAGATCAATCTGTACAGTACACATACATGCTATGCATACGACAAAACGGGTTGGTACACCAAAAGTATTAGCCCCTTCTATTGAGATTATAATAGAGTTTGGAATTTTCCTTGGCAGGGTAGGAAGGCTGGACTTGTTTACCAATTGTTGTTCATTTACCTTAACCGCTTCATGAGCAGTCACAATACGTCATTATAAATGTTTGTAAATCCCATCTCATTACCGTCCCACCTTACGTCTGCTACCATAGGGCATAGGCGACAGGCGTATTCAGGGGGGGGGGGGGTGAAGCCCCTTCTGGACAAATTCCTGAATACGCCCCAGTCACCTACACCTTGAATTTGACATTCATTTAAGGAAAGCTGAATTAGAATATCGTTGACCTTTATTAAAATATCGTTGACCTTTTCATTAAGATTTATTCAATTTTTATCTAGGATGTTTTCGCATTTTTGCCGGGAGCTGAAATCAGAAGAATTCGAGAAGAAAACCCTTCAAAACTTGCACAACTTTGCTGCAAGGTTATACAATTATATTTAACGAATTCAGCAGCACTTGATAATCCTAAATATGTAGACATGGTTTCATATGATCATATGATCAATTACTTACTTACTTTCTTGTCCTATCGATAAAATATATTTACACGTTTTTCTATTTAAGATATTTAATATTTCTGTCAAGAATAATATAAAAATACTTTTCTCCAACAAAAACATGCCTTTTTGACCATTTGTGACCAGTATATTCATTCAATCTCCATTTGCGTAGCAAAAACATCCATAGTTTCGGCTATTTTGATTTTTGTACGAAATATTTATATTTGCTTCACAGTGTACATATAATTTAGTACTTCTATGTAAGTATAAATATATTATCCAACACAAAATGAGCTTACTAAGAGATCTGGGGCCCGACATTAATAATTTCAAGAAGAAAAGAAACTTTGGTGTTGTGCTTGAAAATTTTAAAGTATAAATGTAAAAAAATTACGTTCAAGATATCAATACTTTAATGAAACCAGGAAGCGAATATGGCGAGATTAAACTAGTTCTGAGTTATGACTAGATGAACTAATTTTCTAATCCAATCTCGGCCTAACTAAAAAATTATAATTCCAACCTCTGTTATTTTAAGCTGGTTGAGAAACTGACTGTTGCTGTTGAAACTAGTTGTAGAACTAAAGCCGATAATACTACTGTTATAAATAGGTAAACCAAACCAAAATCAGCATTTATGCATATCAGCACTAACAAATCTTTCTTTAAGTTGCCGAATTCTTACTCGGTTGATCCCTTATATCTTTGAGTGCCCGGAGTGGAACTCTTTTTTCTGGAGTTCAGATGGTGGGGAAAATTCAAAAGGTAAACGAATTATTTTAGTACAACAATCGGAACACGCATTGACTTGTAGTGTGAACTTACAATTTCACATTATTTTTTTTTCATATTTAGAGAATGAAAATCATCCTCTGGCATACAAATTGATTATGGCGCTCTCAGATTTGCTGTTTTGTCCAGATTTCACTGTCTCTGGCAGCAATTCTATGGTAAGCTATATTTCTTACAGTGAAATCGTCATAAAAATGAAAATTATCACATTAAACATAACATTTTTAAACTTCTAGGAAATATTGTTAGAAAATGAAACATATGTGATAAAAATTGAAGTAAGTTCAAAAAGTTTCTGATCAGCGTCAGAGTACACAAAATGGAACAGAACAACATATTTTTAGTTGTTTAAGTGGCGCAATGCGGTGAATAATCCTAGTTTTGTTTGGGAAATCGCTTAAGCGACTTAAGCAACTGAATGCAGTGAACCCGATATCCAGACAGACTTGGAGCATCTAAATGATATATTTGAATCCAGAGTTCCTGAATCAGAGCAGTTGGATCGGGGATTCAAATCAGAGGAGCTGCTCGTAGGAATCCAGACTAAGAGCAGCTAGACGACAGTCTCGCTACAAGGGAAGCTTTATTTATCAAAAATAATGTAATGATATCCGATATGTGGGGTTATGTTAGGTTGAGATAAATTCTAGGTTGAGCGCTGTGGCTAGGAAAGGCTAGGAGGCCGAGCTTTGCAACCTTATTTATAACAAAATAATATAATTATTTCCGATATGTAGGGTTAGGTTAGATTAAGACAATTTCTGGGCCAAGTGCTGAGGCTAGGACATGCTAGGAGGGCCGAGCGCTGGGGCCTTATTTATGATATCCAAAATTTGGAATTAGGTTAGGTTAAGCCAATTTCAGGTCCCAGCGCTGCGGTCATATTTATTATACTAAAAAGTACACTGGTACGCAAAAAAAGCGAAAAACGTAGACGACATTTGTTAAAAAATACAGTGGTCTGCAGAGATAAGTGGAAAAAGAGGACGACAATTGTTAAAAACGAAAAAAATTGGAAAACAACGTTTTTTTAACAAAACATTAGTCCACTGAAATTAAATATACAAACAATGATTGGGAAACGTAAGTTTCAATTATACAAATTGTTAGTTACCAAATTGTCCGTTTCCAAATTGTTGGTGACCAAATTGTTGGTTACCAAATTGTCAGTTTCCAAATTGTTGGTTACCAAATTGTTGGTTACCAAATTGTTGGTTACCAAATTGTTGGTTACTAAATTGTCGGGTTACCAAATTGTTAAGTTACCAAATTGTTAGTTACCAAATTATCAGTTACGAAATTTTTAGTTACTAAAATATTAATTACCAAATTATAAGTTACCAAATTATTGGTTACCAAAATGTTAGTTACCAAATTATAAGTTACCAAAATGTTAGTTACAAAATTGTTAGTTTCCAAAATGTTAGTTACCAAAATGTTAGTTACCAAAAGTCCGCACATCGCTTTGAGAACTGTATATCGGAAGTATCTCAGGGCTAGACAGAGGACTTATATACTTGAAAGATTAATTGAGGATTACTCGGGGATTGTATTTAGGCCTTATACAGGCCCATCAAGTGCCATAGAGGAGTAGAACATGCTCAGGCCCAACCTGGATAGACAGAGGACCAGTATACTCTCCTTAGTTGAACGATGGTTCTCTCAAGCATCAAACATGAACCAACTTAACAGATGTATTTAATAAATAAATTATTAAACTGATCAATCTCAATTCATTTATACTCTAAGAGATATATATATATATATGGAGGTTATTAAAGGTTATTAAAACAAGAGTACGGGGATCTAGAAAGGGCGTTCGAGAGCATTTGTGTAGGTAGGGGGCGCTCAAAAAATAAATTTTGTGCCCCCCCCTCAGCAACATTGTGCCCCCCCCCTTAAAAATCCCATGTTTAATAAAAATATTGATACTTTTTTAACTAAGTAAACTATTCGATCATATACACTATACTTCCATATTACAAGTGTTAAAATGAATTATTTATGTAATTTTCTTAAGAGTGGGCGGGGGCACAATGTTGTCAGGGGGGGGGGGCACAAAATCAGGCAAAGTATAGATGGAAATGTTTCTAAAAAATGATCTATATTTTCATAGGATTGATACATATTGTATTATAAATTATGATATTAAATATATATTTACACTGAAGGCAGTATTGATTAAAGCTTTTTTTAATGACACTTTTTAAGTTAAGGGCAAAAGTGAGATTTTAAAGTTTTTTTTTCTATACGATGTAATTGTACTTAAATGGAATACATGCGTAATTTCAAGTGACCCTCCATTTATAGAGTGGCATGCCCGATGTACCATTGAAACCTTCATTTCTCCGTAGTTTCTGAAGCAAGAAATGCGCTAGTCACTTTTGTAGAGAAACCACAAATAAAAATAATCAGTTTTCAAAATGAGAAACATGGATTTTTAATGCAAAACTTGATCAGACAAAGCTTTGAAGGGTATTGTTGCGAATCAGAATATATTTTAATTCTTTTCTTAATCTTTCAGTTTGGGTGAGTGCAATGCAATGCAATGTAGAATGTAGATTGCCTGAGGAAGGGAAATGCAAGCAGATGTAATATTAAAAGAGCCCCCCTCCCCCAATGAGTGCCCTCCCCCGTACGCCTCTGGATCTATATATAGAGTGAAATATTTGCATAAACCCTCAACCATGGGTGCAATTATTTGACCTCGAAAATCCCTAGGATTTACATCTGGCTTGTATTTGATTTAAGACCATAATTATTTCAATATAATCTTGTTGTAGTCTAGAGATGAGGTAGATTTAATCTTGTTGTAGTCTAGAGATGATATAGGTATAATCTTGTGGTAGTCTAGAGATGAGGTAGATATAATCTTGTTGTAGTCTAGAGATGAGGTAGATGATCTGGATAGTTTGGATAGCTGTGAATATATCTGGGAGAAAGGAGTTGGATTCGCACAATCACAACAACAGATTCCACAACATCATCATAACAGGTTAAACAATACGCTATTCATTATTAACATAGTTGTTACGTATGTTATAATTTATGGCTATATGTCAGGAATATTACGCTTTTCGATGGTTTTTGGTCAACAGACAACCCATTTTTAGTTCTACAGGGTTGTCCCAATAAACATGGGAATTCAGTGACGAATTCGATATCGTCTTTTCAAATAATTCTTTCATTTAGTATAGTGATACCTACTGAGAAAGCTGTAATCTGTAAGAGTTTCGTCTCCTATGTTCACATTTTGTTTGTTTATGTTTTGACTGCATACGGTTGTACTTAATAAAACAAGAAAATTGAAGTATACAAACAGAGTAAACTTGTTCATCTTGCGGAGACAGTATAGACACATCTTTGCAGTCTTTTACCCTTTTCATAAAATAAACTTTAGCAGACATAATAATATTACGGCTTTTGAAATTAGCTATTAGTATTGCAATGCTAATTCATAACAAAGACGATATTGAATTCGTCACTGAATTCCCATGTTTTTTGGGACACCCTGTAGTTCTAGTTCTATTTCAAGATAGGCGGGGGTGTTTTAAAAAAAATCATAAGTGACGAGGAATGCAAGTGAAAATCTCCCTAAAAATATTTTAATTTTTTTTTCTAATTTCCCAAATTAGTATTCATTTCATTATTTGTTTTCTTTTTATAAGTCGGTGATTGCATTTCTTTCGTCCCAAGTTTTGCTTGGCTACAAAAATATTCTAAAACGTAAAATAAGCATTGTTGATATTTTCTGAAAGTAAAATTTTATTTTTAAACAACAAAAGAGGGATTTGTTGTAATAACTCAATGCTTCTGAAGTCTTAAAGATATTTGAATGGGATATATGTTTACAGGATTAAATAAAAAACTTTAGTATAATCATCGGTTTAGGTATAATATTCAAATCCCTTTTTTTAAAGAAATTTTAATACGCACTCTTTACATATTTAGCACCCTTAAACGGAGTGTAAGTGTAATTCCACTTTACCTTACTTGCAAAGCTGGCAATGCCCGATTTACAACGATACCCTTATACCTTAATCGGATCAAAAATGTGGAAAATACAGTCGTTTTTCTTGCTCATAAATTGTGTTTATTTTTTATAATTTCTCCATTGCTACTTATAAGCAAAATCGCAAGTCACTTTTGCATAGAATCCACAAATGAAAATAAACAGTTTGAAGAAACAAAAACATGGATATCTGATTCATGATTTATCAGACAAGGTTTCCAAGAGTACCGTTGTAAATCGGGCACTGCCAACTTAGGATGGAGTGTCATTTGAAATTACGCTTACAGTTCATTTAACGATTAAAATAACCTCTTGTTAATAAATTAGATCTGAACTGTTATTCTTCCTGAATTCAGATGAGATTTTAAAAGCTTAAACCCGACTAAAACCCAAACTCGGGCTTAGATAGAACCCAAGTCAGGATTGGTTCTGATTCGACCTATGAGAGACTGTTTTGCAAGCTTTCCCTCTGTAGCAGACATAATGCCGTCAGATCAGCTTTGAAAAGGAGATGTAAATTTCGAAAGTTCAAACTTTATGTAGATACATAATTTTCATAGTATGTTTATTTTATATAATTAATAAAATTTTACACCACAAATAATTCTCGAGATTTTAAATGCACAAATATAAAAGATTTTACGAAATTCACAAACATCAGCTGCTGAAGACTCAAGCCTTAATAAAGAGAGTAAAACCCAAGAGGGTTGGTTCTTACTAAACTCAAGGCCATCCAAAACCCGAGTCATGACTTAAGCTTTACTTGGGTCTAAGCAGACGAAAAGACCGGGTTTTAGTTGGGTTTAAGCTTTTAAAATCTCATCTCTGTTAACCTGATATTATGTTACTAATGATGAATAAATCAGATCTGAACTGCTGTGCCTACTGTTAACCTGCTTCTCCCAAACGATGTACCTTACTCCACATGGGGACATCAATATGTCAGGGGATAGATGGGTCACACTTTTCACAAGTCCGCAAAACAGGTCAACAACTGTAAATTTTTTATATGACTAAAGGGACTGGAGGCGTAATTCCTGATTTACAACAGTACCTTTGACTGATCATCGAGGGCAGAGGGCATGTATTTATCTCTAAAACGATGTTCAAATTGACGTAACACTAGAGTGTACGCTAGCGTACAGTGTGAACGGAACACAGTTAGAGTTTCATAGATTTCTCGAGAATCCAGATTATTCTATGTCTAATGTAAATATTTATATTTCAATTTTTTTCCAATTACTCTTTTCATACTGCATGAGTATTGAAACCAGCCCGAAAGTATGAAAGAGTTAGCATAGTAAAGCCCAAGGTGTTACAACACTTTATGTTTAACCCGCTCTTGAAAATTGATGCATAATTTTTATAGATGTCTGAACCTATGTTTAGTGCTAATCTTTGATATTTCAAATTTTGACTACTTGTAGCCGAATTCATTTAATTGAAATATCAAAGGTCTTTGCCGTTAGGTATTTTGAGTTTTAGACAAGAAATCAATTCCTTTTTGATTATTTCAATTTTAAGCTAAAAAAGCACAATCATATAAATAGTTTATACAGTTTACATCTCTTTGAGAATTTGTTCTGCAAAATTGCTGAAAACAGAATAAAACAAAAGCGGAATAGCACAATTTTGCACGAAATCAAATTGGAATGATTGCGTAAACTGTTTTTTCGCACAAAAATGTAGCTCAACTAAGACAAATATGTGCATTTCCTTTCGCAGAAGCTTTGTAAATGGAAACCCTATATACTTGTATTGGTTTAGTACACTCATTGCCTTTTTTCTGCCCGGTCAAAATTGCCCGTCTCGGACCAGGTCAATTTTGACCTACTGGTCGAAATGTCGATTTTTATGCACACATTGTACAGTATAC